GTGTGTGTGTGTGTGTGTGTGTGTGTGTGTGTGTGTGTGTGTGTGTGAAAAAATAATAGCAGTTTGCCTTGACCAAACTCCTGAAAAGTGGTTATTTTGAGTACTTCCCATACAAAATACAATAGTACCGCTTTTGACTAATTTTAAACTTTGACGAGTTTGTCCTCGGGCCTGGTGCGAGTACAAACTCTGGAACTTTGCACACGGCCAGTACAAACTCCAAATCATATGAAAATGTCCCGAGAACATCAACATTCGGTCTCTGAGATGAAGTCGCCATACAAATTGACAAAATTTGACAAAATGTCAACTTTGACGAGTTTGTACTCGGACTGGGTGAGAGTACAAACTCTACGGCTTTGCACACGGCTTGTACAAACTCCAAATAACATGAAAATGACCTCAGAACATCAGAATCTAGCCTCTGACATTAAATTTTTTCGTTGTTCCTTTATTTCCGAAATTTGAGAAAATTTTAAACTTTCAGAAGTTTGTACTCGGGCCTGGTGAGAGTACAAACTCTGCGGCTTTGCACACGGCCAGTACAAACTCCAAATCATATGAAAATGTCCCGAGAACAATAACATTCGGCCTCTGAGATGAAGTCGCCATACAAATTGGCAAAATTTGACAAAATGTCAACTTTGACGAGTTTGTACTCGGACTGGGTGAAAGTACAAACTCTGAAACTTTGCACACAGTCATTACTAACCCAAAATCATATGAAAATGACCACAGAACATCAACATTCGGCCTCTGAGATAAAGTCGCCATACAAAATGGCCGTTTTTTCAAAATTTTCAACTTTGCCGAGTTTGTACTCGGGCCCAGTGAGAGTACAAACTCTGGAAATTTGCATACGGTGAGTACAAACTCCCCCGAGTCCAAATCTGGAATTGGTTTTTCATTTTTCCAACCGAGGGGGGGGGGCAGTGACATATACCTTCAATACTTCTCCATTTACTAATAACAGAAATAATCAAGTCGGAAAAAATTGTAGTCGAATAAAATTCTTTAGAAAAATATTCAATAGAAACATTAGCATCAAATGGAATTATTTCAATAAAATAATTTTTTCGTTAGAATATTCTCAAAAATAGTGAGTATTTATTTAGCTGTCTCAAAAAATTCGGTATGTAGATTCGATTCAATTTTTGTTCAGATTAATGTGTGATTTCAACGACATTTTTTACAAATAAGACAAAAACTGACACAATCGACATTAAGTGTCTTTGTTCCTTTCCTTCGACTTTTTTTTAGTTGTTCCCAATGCAAATCTATATTTTTAACAAACACTTATTTACATATAAATACATATCAATAATGATTTTAACAATAAATGATTTTTTCTGTTTGGTATTGCTCTCTAAATTGACTATTTGATTATTTTTTTTATTTGCTGCCCTTGCTAGCAATTTGAATTTTATTCAGATCATCAAGCACCTCTAAAACGTTAGCCATGCTCCACGCTTGTGTTCGACATGAATCTGAGCAATAGGAACCATTTTCATTTGTTAATTCTGGTAAGCCTCGCCAATGTGACGTTTCAATTTCACGTAAATGTGCCGTTAAAATTGAATATGTTTCAGCGACTGTTTCCTTTAGGCAATTGTTTTTCTCGGCAAAAATGAGTCGAGCACGTAAATAGAAACCAATTGGCCATACCCATTCCTAATTAATGAGAATTTAAAAAAAAATATGTTGAAACAAATTACAATCTCATTTCCAAATAATCTATATTTGAACTCACCGGTCCTTGATGATAATTGGCGCCATGAGCAACCTTTGGATCATCCGAATCGTTGCTGTTGTCATAATTACCGCGATAGTTCCAATCGTCTGGATCTAAAGTTTTCATACCCAAAGGACCGAGCAAGTATTTTTTGGCAACTTCCAATGCATGCCAAGCGTGTTTCGGGTCAAACAAATCCGGCGACTAAGTAGAACGATATGGAGATACGAAAAAATTATTATTCTTTTCAATATTTGTATTTTTTCATCATCCAAATGTAATAGTATACTTACCGCAACCATGGCAATTGGAAAATTGCATCTCAATTGAAAATCAGCCCAAGCCTGTGTTGCGCCAAATGAATCTTTGTAAATTCCAACTTTGTTTACCAAATCGCCCATTTCAGGTGTGGTATAGAATTCTTTTTCAAAGTTAGCTTGAACCAAATCAGCCCACTTTTTGAGTGACCAAACCGTTTTTTCTCCACCTTTGCCATTACGTTCAACTGAATCGTACGGTATTAACTGAGATTCGGATAATTTTTGTAAAAATCTCAATCCAGCATATTGCAAGCCAATAATTTCAACAGCTGAACCATCACGTGGTGTCGTCGGCACGCCTCGATTTCCAGATTTGTCTGATGATCCCATTTTGTCCATCCATGTGCCACAGTTTGCTTCGTTTCCACCGAAAACGAAACCAGTGCTCGGATTGGTACCGATTTGATTGTTAAACCCTTGATCTTTCATATGCGCATCAATTTCTTGGCCAGCATTTCGCTCGCGGAATACCAAACCTTGAAAGTGTATGTTAAGCGCTTCTTGAATGACTTGGTGAAGGGGTTGATCCTGATAAAGAAAAATACAAAAAATTCAAAGCACGAATTTTAATTGGAATCAGTTTTTTTCCAATATTTAAGAACGGAATATGTGACTCATATCATATATGACTTTGAAAAAACTTATAATAAAAATTACTTACACATTCGCCAGGTGCCTTTGGATCCGAATCGTCGGTTGGGAACAGACGGGATACTGGTTCATTTAGAATTGCATGACCTTTTGGTGCTTCATAAACGTAATCTCTGATGCTGTACAACCACCACCAAATGGCATCACGACAATTGAAACGTGGTTTCGTTCCGTTGTCCAGAAGATTTGGAATGAGACCGTGTCGCAGACAAGCAGCAAATCCCAGAATAATGTAGCGAGCCTCATCGTAGCGACTAGTTAACAAGAGCAAACCACGTAATGCGATGAATGTATCGCGACCCCAACAACGCATGTAACCAGTCGAAAAATGTGGTAAGCCAGCCGAGAGCGTTGGGCATGGAGACAATGGTTTCGGATTTGATACTTTTGGACTGAATTTAGGCAAATCAGCCGAATTCGAAATGGCTACACATTGCACGGAACCAAGGGCTAAATCCTTCACGAAACTGCTTCCGTTGCGAATGAATCTGCAATATATATTGACAGCTGTTATACAATTTGAGGTTATGTAACTCCAAAGAAATATACTCACGGTGACATTAATTCGATGGCTCTGTCCGCTAGCAATTGATGCATGCCGGTTACAATGACATCAAAGTAGCTAGGTATCAAGTATCTTGGGATTTGTTTCAGAGCGACACTATTGTTGGCGAACCATTTTGACAAGTCGGCAGTGTTTGGATTTTTGGCGATGCGTTGATGAATGTAGTCAATCATCCAATCACCTTGCCGTAAATTTTCGCAAATTGGATGGCCGAGGTCGTGGTTCGGTGCGATTTCTGTCAAAACTGACACAAAACCTTGTGTTCCACAATAGACCAACGATCCGTAATTTGGAACGTTATAGCTGCCTGTCCCAATGCCCATATCACGTTCTTCTTGATCACATCGATAAATTGCATTGTTCAAATCATTCAAATTCAATTTTGAAATAATCGTTTTCAATTCCTCATATTTGGCACCACTTTCAGTTCGGAGGGATTTTATCAATTCTTCCAATTCGGCAAAATGAGGTTTGGTCTTTTCGTAGAGCGAAACTCTATTGATTGGAAGCAACAACATATAAATTCATTATAAATGCGCAATTATTGTTTGCGATAAGGGAAGTGCATCAACACTTACCTAACGGCGACGACACTTCCGGGTCTCAAGTTCACAAAATTCAACTGGGTGCGATTGCCGTCTCGATACGACCTGTGATCGAATATATTCGATTCAGTTAATGGAATATGCTCGTTAACGTTCAACTCGTATTCGTCGAGACCATTGATAAATATATCATTCTTGACGAAATTCGTGAATTGATCATATGTTTTGCCGGACCCACTGCGATTTTGAAAATGTTGAGAATAAAATTGATTATTTTTCGATATGAATAATTTTTTTCAAAACTTTTTCTATGATATCTATCGCTTACTTGTGCGTGAGCTCAGCTTCTAGGATGATTTCATCCAACGAGCCTTCGAATTGCAATGGTCGAACGCCGGTTGGTCCTGCGTTTGGATTTGGTTTTCTGAATGCGGTGTGAGCAACTAAAATGACACTTTGATGTGTTGTTGGATTGTGTCTAGTCACAGCCACAATATCTGTGTGCATTTGATCGACAAACACTTGACTGAATCCCGTCTCGGCCAATTCACCGTGCAAAAGATTTAGAGCACGTTTAGCAGCAATGATTCCACTTTTTTCATCAACACCATTTCCCCATTCTTGATATTGTCTTTGTTCGTTGACAACGTGAATCTATGAAAGTTAAACAAATTTTGAGCAATGCAAACAGATGAAAATCAATTGAACCGAGTAATAGCACATACGTGGTGTGGAACAAGCTCATCATAGCCACGATTACTGCCAGTCGCGCAGCATGCCATTGATACCAACGCAGCAGATGGAAGTAAATCAAAAACAGATCTGAAATCCAAAGAAAGAATAATTCTGAGCGTCTATTCAAGAAAAGCGTATTGAAGAGTAATAAAAGAATAACAAAGAGATGGTAATTTTTTTTTGCTTTCGAACTGACCGTTTTTCAATGGGTGACGGATTATCATGAGTCAAATCCAAAAACAGAGCGTGGGCAATGCCTGGTGCAAGTGGTCGTTTGAGATTATTGTAGAATGCACCAACTGGAGCTCCACCATATCGATACACTAAACGCCCTTCTTCATGTGAATCCCAAGCAGACATTGCCTCTGAAATAAAAAAAGATAACAACGTTCAAATCCATTCGTTCTAGAAGTGTTTTCTTACACGAACCTCGAATCAACGACGTGATGCCCAATCGGTTGACGAATATGTTGTCGGTGTGATCTGAATTCGTGAAAAGTTCAGCCACAACATACAGTTCCGGATTGATTCTACGCGCACAGTCGAGCATGTATTCGGCGACGTGCAAAGGTGTCGAATGGCAATTATCCAAACGCACTCCATCGAAAATGCGAGCGGTTGTTTCAACGTACTTTTTCATATGATTCCACAAGTACGGGCTATCTTCTGGTCGCTCACCGAATCTCAGTTTGACGCTGTCGCCCCATGCAATGAGCTCACGTTTGATATAAACATTACCGCGATTTGGTTGAGGTAATGCAAAGTCATTGAGTGAATCGGCACTCATGACCCAGCCATTGTGGGCCATAAACTGTTTTCCTTTGTCGGTGTAAATTAATTTTTCGTATTCATCGAATGACAAATCTTTTTTGTCCGGCGTGAAATACCGACTGAACAATGGGTGAGTGTTATCGTTGACACGCACACGTGGTCCATCACCTTGAACACGCTCATATCGCACACCAGCCAATGCATTTTCTACAGCGTAGTTCAAGTACTCTTCAATCTCCCGACGAACTTCCTCATTTAAATACTCTAATCTTGTTCTGAACGCTTCGATACACTTGCGCCGACGGGTGTCCTCGTCGAATGCGTCCGTTCGGAAAACATTGTACTTGGACAAAGCCAAATCAAAATCAATTTCCGTGCCGAGACGCTTGTATTCGGAGTCTTGAATCAACACCAAATCTTCTTGTTGCACTGGACTCGAGGCACTTGGTGGTCGTCCGGTGCGAATCTAAAATAAAATTAGAAATTATTTACTCGAAATATATGCAAAAGGAATAAGAGGTTTAGTACCCTTTCACTGAATAACGACACATATTTCTCAATATTGCACTGATAGAATTGGGCTAGGTTGGCCTTTGGCAAGTAAGTTGTGTGTATATGATGACGCAGCGCTTGAATGTGATCTTCGTTTTCGACGAGTGTTGGCACACCGATAGTTTCCAAATTGCCATTCTTTACATCGCGCGCCACCAAGTCAAAAACAACATCCAACAAAAACGCCGGACGCAAATGTGGCATAGTGAAACATGAGTATGTAGCATCCGGGTGCTCTTGCAGCCATTCTGATTCGTTGGCAGTGTGATTCAATACGATATCACATATCGACGAGACACCCCATTCGGTGCGCATTTTCTTCACGAATTTTTCAATGTTTTCAAATGTTACATTTTTAACGATTTTCCCATGGACTTGTAAGTCATTGAAATCTGGATTCGGTTTCAATTGGTGGCTGAGTGAGTATGCCGATCTTGATTCTCCAAGTTCCTGTTTTGTATGAAACAACAGGTCTTTTTTTAAATTTTTCTTATCAAGTATTTTTATTTCTATTTTTCAATCACATACCTGGATTGGCGTAAAGTGAACCATATTGTATCCAGTATTTTTGGCTACAATCAATTTGCTTTCCCATGTTGATAGCGGTCCGAGGCATTTTGCCAAAACAGTTTGACAGCGGATTGAATCCAATGGGATTTCTTTGCTAGTTTTCTGTGCGCCAACAATTATCTTCGGTTCGACTTGAACGTACAGCGAACCTTGACGTTTATTATGACGGTCATTGCTGTAACAAAAAATTAATATACGAATCAGTTTAAATTAATTAATGAAAATGATTCGATTAATTTTTCCTCTTGCTGCGATTGGGTGTGTTAGTTACTATTACCTGTTATCATAAGTGAAGTAAAAATGAAACGTGCCTGCACGATTGACTTGAAGTTCGCAATGCGTATCCAAATCCGTAATTTGTGTGAATGGATGCAAACCGTCGCTTAGCTTCTTGCCATCACGGCTGTACCAATTCAAATGTAGATATTGATGGCGAATAAATTCGGCTTTTTCTGCAAGAAATCCACAAATGAAATTACATTCAATGGCGCTTCAGTTATTTCGTTCACAATTTCCGAGTTATTCACATTGTTTCACATCACAGAAATCACAGAAAGTGGTTAAAGTAACAATACCTTGCAACATTCACTTAGAATCAAATCATTATCCTTTGATTGTTGGAACAATTTCATATTTTTAAATCAAAGTGGTTAGAAACGAGGTAATAAAAAACATATATACACACCATCACCATCGCTACCTGTAACCGGATAGTTGCAGTACAGGGCAACATTTCGTCCGAGTAGGCTGGCTCCTGGCACCAGTCGCAATTTGGTTCCACGTTTCAATCGATACAATTGACCCTCCGCATTGACACCATGTTGCAAAGCGATGCTAAGCACATCATTGCTGGATTTCGTCATCACTTGAATCGCTGCTCTCTTTTTTGTTGGTGGAATAGAATCCGAAAAGAAGAACACATTAAACAGTTGAAATAGTTTATAGGATGAAACTAGAACAAATCCGAAGCAAACAGTTTCAAATATGAGCATGGCCGAATTGAGAACGTCTATACTACGCAACAGACACGAATCGATTATCAAATCCGGAAAAATATCTTTCAATGAGCGACATATGTGTCGAATTATCATGATTTGCTGTTGTGCTCTTCGGCTGTGGTATTTGTGTGTGTTTGCGTGTAATATCCGAGAAAAAGTTGTAACCGGGAGCAAAGACACAAAATCGTTTATTTTTTTATTTTTAGAATAATTTTTTTGTTTGGTATCAGAAAAAGAAATTTCGGCAAATGATTAACGCAAAGCCACTCAAGTACACTATATCAGTGCGTGGCTGGCGTCAGATTATTCTCAATTGCAATATTGATTTATTATTTATTCAAATAGGTCAAGAGTACCGAGCGTCAGCAGCACGACAAATATTGCTGATTAGTATGATCAGAGATTATTAACAGCAGCAGAAGCAACAACAACAATAACGCCAACCGAAGCGAAGGCACTACGATTTTTTATATAGTTCACACTCGTTTCGTCTTTTAGCGTCGTAAATCGTAATTTCAACACCCGGTTTTCACGAATTTAGTCGCACCCGATTTATATTATCGCACGGGTTATATTTCGAATACGGAAGTTTTCGGTGATTTTTGTTGTTGTTGTTATTGTTAATGAATAACTCAATTCCGCGCTATGCACTCGCTATTGATGTGACGAGAAATAGTGAAATGGTTGATAGTTATGGCAAAAAATCTGACTCTATGCAAATAACTCCACGGAGTGCTAATCGATCAAAGGTACACTTTAGCTCCACCGTAAACAATGTGCCCAACAGACAATTCACCGGCATCGACATACGTATTTGTACGGCTTAATCAAGCTTATCGTAATCGGCATCAGTATATAAACAGCCTTCGCCAGTTTTGTTCTTGCATTATTTTCTCGCGTGTTGCGCGCATTCAATTTAATGTGTGCGATCACGTTGACGGCAGCTCAAATGCATCACACAAAATGAAATTGTCTTGTTGTTGCTATTGCTGTCGCTGTCGATTGAAGCAAGCAAAAACAAAACAACATTTAGAGACAACACACAGTGTGAAGTTTCCGCAATGCCGTCTGATAACCTTTCAATGAACTTGAAATGGCGCGCACACACACAAAAAAGTATGTAGTTCAATTGACGGCAAATATGTGAGCAATACTTATAATTAACATGGAGCAATAAAATGCGGATAGAAAAAGAAAACACACATATGACAGCTTGAGAGGAAAAGTATAATATATTCTATACTTAATACATTGCTATAATGGCTCAATTCACAAAAAATATAAATATTGTGCTAGTTATTCCGTATTCAATGTGTGTCATTGACATTGAATTCAATGGTCACACGAGCTTGAGATAAAAATGAGTAAACAAACGAAAACATACGTTTTACGCCAAAACTCAATTTCTACATATTCAAGATTATATATTTCTCTTTTCAATTCACGTTGAAGTTTCATGGCGACATAACAACAATTTACCCGTTTTCTGGATATCGATATTCTTCGACATATTGCAATTCGTGTGAAAATCATACGCAACTTTTTGAGCAAATAATTCACCACAGCAATCATAGCAATCCTTTTTTTGACTCGCTTTTATTTTGAATACTTATCGAATAATTGATTTTTTTGGAACAAACAAACACAGATGATAATTTTTTTGAATTTAAAGCAATAGAAATAATGAGAATATGGGACAAATTGATAGTGATGAATGCGTTCGAGATTAAATTTCACCGATCGCTATGCGTACTAAATTTGTAAATGAATTCTGAGTTGATGATGATTCGTGTTGCACGTGTACATGTGTTAAAATTTAATAACAACGGAGATGCATAACAGTTAATCACGTTGTTCATTTGACAACTTACCGTCACCGACAACTACCAATGTTTGATGCTACTAATCTTGAAATTGTTGCAAGAAATCCGTCCAAAAAGAACCAATTCAATTCTTTTATCAACTATTGAAATTGAAATTCGTCTCTAAATTGCTCTCTCTTCTTGTGACAGAACAAAGTGTGTGTCTCGTAAATAAAACCCGGTCAGCTGATTAGAAAACAAAACACTGCTTTAATTTTTTGAGCTGCGATGATGATTCCGTTAAATCGACTTCTTGTTCAATTCAAACTCGCATTTGATGTTTGAGAGAATTTGCAACACTGCAACTTATTTACACTGCAAATCGACGTTGTATCTCATTGATCCAACACTGAACGTCGAACAATAACAATTTGAATCTGTTTTGATCTATGCTCAAACTCTTTTGCAAATACACATCCCGTCTAAAATGTGGCTCGCACACCCGTGATATAACCCACTGCTTTGCACATACACACAGAACACCGACGCAGCTACTAGTTTGTGTGTGTGTGTAAGAGAGAAAAACTTCTATTTGCAACGGTTGTGAAGGTGACCTTTTTGACAGTTTCCTTAAGAACAACATACACATGCATTATGAGTTTTGTTATTGCTCTCTTTCAACCGATGTTTGTCACTCGTTTCTAGTTTGCATCGTGTATTCATGTCATCTGGTGCTCTGATGTTTAGAAAAAATGTGAAGGCGACCGCATTTTGGGCTTCATACTGTTCACATTTGAATGGTTTTTGAGCTGGAGAACGCCTATATCAATTTTTGTATGCCTGACTCTTGGATGAATTAAAATCTTCTAGTTTTTTCTATAAACTCTTATTATTCTATTCGATTTTAATGCGAGCAATAAAATAATGAAGATGTTTCAGGAAACTCCTTCACAAACGAACACCAAAGACAAGAAAAGAAGACGTTCCCAACAGACGTTGATATTTTATCTAGTTGTCTCTTTTTTGTACGTTTGACATTTCCTCTTCGGCGTTAACGTCACACCGTACAGCGTTTGACAGTTCGCTTATTTACAATAGCAGTGAATCATGTTTTGTATCCACTACGTTGAAATGAATCGTGGGATTTATTGCTGTTTTTGTTTCTTGTTTGTGCAATAAAACATTGCGAAGAATGCATTAAGAGCAGAGATTACGTAAAACCAAAACGAGCTTTTATTTAGATTGTTCCAAGAAAAATAACTCAAAACGATATATATAAAAAGTAATTGCGAAATTTGCGAAAACATTTCGACCAATTATGCCACGCATTTGAATGGCTGGCAGTGGAAACTAAAACGTGTACACATATCTCGCACTGAGTTGGAAACTTTTTTCTTCTCCAAAGTGTTTATTTTTACAATTTTTGTTTACACAACACAATTTGTAATCTAAATCTTCGAAATTGAAGAGAATTTATAGTGTGATAAAGGGATACCGCGCATTGTTTGGTGGCAGTTTTCAGAATATTATTTATCCCTTCGGAAAATTTCCAACGTACGTTTGGTCGCTGCAGTAAATTTTCTCAGGTCGGCCAATGATGGCTATCGAACCCAATCGCACTGAGCAATTGAAACGGTGCATGTGAAACAGCTGAAAACACATGAATGCCAGGAGAAGTTGTGCAAAGTGCCTTGGGCCAATTTACCCACATCATCATTTTATTTTCATTGGAACGAATTGTGATTTTTCGGCTCATGACAAGCGGTAACACTCAATTTAACAACAGCTTGCCATCGCCTCATCCATTTTCGTCACTTTCTTTGCTCTAAATTCGAATATATTTTTCCAAAACGAGTCAACCGAAGAAGGACAAAAAAGATCAAAATGAGCTCAAACACAGGATATATTATGACATTGGCGAATAGCATTATTGGTGTGGGAATTTTGGCCATGCCATTCTGCTTTCAAAAGGTAGTTTGATTGATATCATTTTCGTTTTGTTCGAAATTTATAACCAATTGCATTTTTCAATTTCAGTGCGGAATTTTGTTATCAATCCTACTGCTTATTCTAAGTAACACCATTACGAGATTCTCATGTCATTACCTATTAAAATCTTCCATCAAAGCACGACGAAAAAATTTTGAATTCTTAGGTATGTTCAAGTGCAATTGTTGTTTGTCAAATCAGAAATGTCGAGATGACGTCATGATATGACATCATCTGTTGATCATTGTTATCTATTGTGATGATAACAATTTCTTCTTCTTTGTTCTCTTCTTAGCTTCATATATTTTCGGTTCATCGGGTAAATTGATGGTTGAATTGTGCGTAATTGGATACTTAATGGGAACATGCATTACCTATTTCGTTGTGGTTGGTGACTTAGGACCGCAAATTGTAGCAAAACTATTCAATATCAATCACACTGATTCGTTGAGGTATTGACATACTTGATTTGATCGCTTTATACATACATGAACAAATTCACTCGCAATCCAAAATTGAATATCAATTGATTTTGTTGATGCGAAAAATAAGCATTCCGTGTTTGTTAAAAAATATCCCATATCAAAGGTAGATTAATAAATTTTCGAATTCTTTCAGAACATTTATTATGGTACTTGTGACGATATTCTGCATAATTCCACTCTGTTTACTTCGGAACATCGAGAGTTTATCGCTAATGTGTATATCGTCGATTATCTTTTACTTTTGCCTGGTACTAAAGGTTTGTTCAAATCCCATTCAAGTTTTGTTTAATTTTATGCGCCTCAATAATCATTCTCTCCTTCTAAATTCCAAAAATTTTCAGATTTTCTTTGAATCGGAAAGCAAAATGGTGTCAACGTATTGGTATGACAATGTATATTGGTGGCGCCCCTCAGGTGTAACGCAGTGCTTACCAATCTTCAGTATGGCGCTATCGTGTCAATTGCAAACATTCGAAATTTATGAATCACTACCCAATCAAACGATCGAAAAAATGAACCACATCATAAAATATGGTACGGGCATTTGTACGGTGGTCTACATTTGTGTCGGCTTCTTCGGTTATGTCGCTTTTTACGGTCAACATTTCTCGGGCAACATTTTACTTAGCTTAACACCATCACTGGCAAGTGATATCATCGAAATGGGTTTCGTTCTTTCGGTCGCGGTATCGTTTCCGTTGGTAGTTTTTCCGTGTCGCGCCAGTTTATATTCGTTGCTGTATCATAGAGTAAGTGCATCTGAGGAAACAGATGAACGTTGTAAACATTTGGACGATGACGAATATATATCGTTTCTTCAACCTCTTCTACAGTCACATTCGGAAATAGCGCACTATATTCCAGAGCATCGCTTCAAATACATTACCATTTCAATGGTGCTGGTTGCTCTGATTATTGGTATTCTTATACCATCAATAGAGTTGATCATCGGATTGGTGGGATCGACGATTGGCGTTGCCATCTGCATCATGTTTCCCGCATCGTGTTTCATCAAAATCAACAAGAAGAACTCCACCGAACGACTTGCAGCACAGGTAATTTTCCGATCGATTTGGTTTGTGATAAGTGGTTTATTGCGGCTAATGACTAATTTGAAAATTTATTTGAAAACAAAATAGTTCTTGTTGGTATTTGGATTTCTGATAATGATCCTCGGTACATATGCCAATCTCGGTGCCATCGATGAACAGCAATCTGGTGCTGATGTCAATATGCCTATCGATCGCCTTCCCGATATTCATGTTTCGCTCCCAACTGAAAATATTTTCATAACACCATCGAAAATGGAGAGTCCTGAAAATAAAATTGAAATGGGACCGAAAAAACAAGATGCCGTGGTCTATGAACCGAGTCATCAAACGAAAGGTGCAAAGCGTAAAACGGTTAAAACAACAAAATCACCGGTGCAAAATGGTCCGATTCGGGAAATTATTTTGAATAAAGAAGAAAAGGATGAAATTCCAGTAAGAAAATCCCTGCTGAAGGAACCTATTGTGCCAATAATAATCAAGAGTGCTAGCAATGTTGAGCCAAATGTTATTCAAAATATACAGCCACCAAAATCAAACATGGTTGCAAATCAATTGGCCGAACCGAGCACCGATAAAAAGTCAACCGATTCGGTAATCAATAACGAAGCCATACAGAAAGAAAACTTAGAGATGGAGATCGATGCAAAAGAGGACCGGCAAAAGGATGCCAAGAGAACCAAAGAAATTTTAGATGAGGTCAAAAGTCAACTGACCCAACAAAATGAATTAAATCAAAAATTAGTTTTAGCTAAAATCAACCAAATTTCAGAGACAGTGAATAACATAGCGCAGATGCAAAATCGCTCAGTCGCACAGAAAAAGGGCGTTTCGCAAACGGAAAATGAAGTACAAATACCCATCGTAGTGACTGAACAAACGGTACGACTTGGGCATGACCAAGTCAAGCCTTCAGTTGATAAAAACGTGGAAAACTTGCCTTTGCCAGCTGTTCCAGTGGCGAAAATCTTAGTCGATAGACATTCGAGCTCAGCACCAAGCCAAAAGCGTGTAATCCCCGAGCCTGAACTGAAGGAGACACAGAGCAACGTTATATCCGAAAGAAAGGATTCAGTTGTTGTTGATTCACTGAAACAAAGTGTTGATGAATTGCCAGAAAAAGTTGAAAAAATGAACGCAAATGTGGGTCGTGATCTTTTAAGCAATCCCAATGATGTTCAAGCGGCAACGCAAACTGCCGACACCGCTAAGTCGAGTAAGATTAAAACTGAAAATTAGACTCAATGTCAATTTTTCTGAGCAGCTGGTACCGTTTCAGTTGAGAGACAACCCGAGTCTTGTTTTTTTTTGCTCAGTAAGAAAACCTATATATAGGTGTTATACTTATTGAAAATGTGTCAATTGTTGATACGTGCGATCAAGAGAATGAAAAATTGTAGCACAAAAGAGAAATTGAAATAATAATAGAATTGCGTTCGACGATAAGACAATCCAACTAAACATTTAATGTTTATCGATGTGATGATGATGATGATGACTGTATATAGTAAGATTAGCACAGAGGAATGAGAAAATAAATGTCTTATCATTATTATTATTTATCATATGAAAATATAGAAGATTCATTGAGTGAAGGAATAGCGTATAATGGTGCAGACGCCGATTTTTCAGCATCGAAACAAAGAATTTCAGAGTATTGTTATCGATTTAAGGGCCAAATTCCATAACTTTAATATATGGACAATAGTTGTTTCAAGGAGCCAGTTATTTAACGAAAGTGTACAAGTACTATTTTTTCTGATTGCGTTCACATACAGAATTTGCTTCTGAATATAGCGAATTGAACTAAGCTGAATAATATCATTGTTATTCATCCAATCTAACCAAAAACAAATGTAATCAGTATTCACATCTAAAATTGGGATGTAGTGAGGTGAAAAAAATATTCGGTTACCATGAAAATGCATACAAAAAGTGAACCTACGTGGAACTGTTCTGCAGATGGAGATTTTTCGCATTTATTTTCTTAACTAATTATTGGTGATACAACTAATAACAATAAGACTTTTTTTCCATGTGCAGGAATTCAACTGTTAAGAGGATTTATTTTCTAAGCGATTTCGATGAACTTAAACAATGAAATTATGAAATAAATATCAGGAAAAAAATAAATTCAAAACACCTCACTGTATTTCTTTATTTTTCAATATTTAATTATGGAGGAAATCTGGTCTTTCTTTATTTCTTTCTCTTTTCATTTTTTTCATCTAAAAAAGGGGCTAATCTTTTTCCAATTACGAAAATTCAATAAAAAAAATTCCAATGGTAAACTAAAATCGAATTGAATACAAATGGTTTGGGCTCTCTTTCGAGAGGAAGGAAACCAGCGAAATGGTTCGCGAAAAATCAGTACCCAAGTTTAGTTAAATGAGTTTGATTCAAGTCACCTTTTCTTTCGGCTGCTTCGAACTGGATCGTAATTCGTGGCTTGGTCATAGGCGGTGTCCTTCATGCTCATTCGTAGATTATTTGTTTCAGTCAGAGGTGTTTTGGCGCCAACATAGTTAACAAAACCGTTCGAACCGCGTGGACTGCATTCGCCATCACCACCCGAATCCGAATCAAATGGTCTGCCGCTTTCATTTTGCGAGTGCGATAAACCATTTATATGAATAAATTCATTGCTTGAAACGGTGCCACCATTCGATGGTGTCACCAATTTTGACTGAACGATCGATCGTTTGGAGAGTGTTGGCGATGTCATCAGGTTTTTGGCATCATTTGAGGTTGGCGAGCGTAATTTGTCAAGCGACCCGTATCCACTATCATTAACTAAGCTATTGAAATTATGCACGGAACGCGAAATGGGCTGTTTTGTGAGTACGGTTGTGTTGTGACGTTGTTGATAGCTTTGTCGCGGTTGGGATCGCTCACGATTCCTGCTAGAAAAAGGCTGAAGATGCTGAACGCTTGATTGTTGTGTTTGTTGGATTTTCACAGCCGGTACAGCCACCGTTGCAAGCGAATTGAATGCTGACATGAAACCGCGGGATGTTGTATCCATTCGACTTAGGTTTGTTTGAGTGTTTTGGCTTCTGCTATTCGAATATGGCCCGGGCGTATGTGAGATGGTGGGCACCGATTGCGAATTCTTTGTTGTGTACACATCGCCGATTGAAATTGGCCGTTCGGGTGTATATGTGCGAATAGAATTTGCCATTTCTAGTTGTTTTTGCGATTCGCTCGATGTTTGCGAACCAACATCTACTAATTTTGTCGACCTACGTGTCGCTTGATAATCATAGCCATTATTTTCTCGACGCAATTCTACGTTGGAGGTTAAATTTTCCATTTGGTTTGTGTAACCGATACGTTCATGTGGATTTCCATTGTTATCATTGTGTGATTGATGGCCCATTTCACTTGAACCAATTTGAACTTTTCCTGTGCGCGGATTAATGTGTTTATTGGATGCGTCTTTTACGGTCGACACGATTTGCGTCCGCGCCGCTTTTTCTTGAGCTCGCACTGATGACACATGACCAGCCACCGGCGCTCTCTGAGTGTGCCGTATTTCTTCTTCGTCTCCTTCTTCATCTTCTTCATCATCCTCCTGAATTACCGACTCTTGAATCCAATCGCGAATACGTTTCTTTTTGGCGACTCGATCCACCGTTGTTTCAATACCATGCTGTGTCAGTGCATACAATAATTTGTTCTTTTCCTCGGGACTGCTATGAAACGAATACATCGATGCACACAGCTCATCCGGTTCGTTTGCTAAATTATTTAGAAAAAAAGAAGGAATTAGATGTGTTTTCGAAATGGCCAATTTATCAATTATTATTACCAATCATATCTTTCTCTGCATTTTTTGCTAGCCATCGTTCGCCCAAGAATTTATGAAGGTCAGAGAGATTTTTTGGTCGTCGTTCTGGTATCGGTTCGAGATATTTGCGAAACAGCTTACACGCTTTGTTTGTGAGCAATTTGAAAAGCTTAGGCGTACGTTTAATGGGAATCACCATGCTTGAACTTTGCCATACTAAATACCGCATATAGCGTGGATCTTCGGATGCTGCTTTTTGCCATGGCAGACATCCTGTCAAACAAACGAACAACACAATTCCAAATTGCCACAAATCATGCGATGGAACCGTCCTGTAAAGAAAAATTTGAATTTGAATTCGGGCATATATGTGTGTGAGGTGGACTATTTCATGCACTCTTACTGATATGTTTGATCTGTTGAGATTGTTAATACTTCGGGAGGCGAGTACGGAAGCCATTCGTTTCGTCGTTGTACATAGCTGTATGCCTTACGTGTTTCGCCGAAATCGCATAACTTAACACGAGAAAAATCCGATCGGCAAACTAGAACATTATCCAATTTTACATCTCGATGCACTAAGTCTCTATTTGAAAAAGAAATTGCGACGTTAAAATTCAATGTAAGATAGTATTGTAGGCAATATGAATAGCATACTTCGAATGGATATAGTCGAGAGCGGAGGCGATTTGTTTTGCCACTTTTTTGGTGGGGGTTTCACCAATACCTAGAAATTGAAATAGATTTTAAATTAACTCTCAATGGGAGACAAAAAAGGAGAGTCAATACTACCACTATCCGATACATTCGATGTGAGATCACCCAACGGTGCATATTCCTGGGTGAAGACATAAAATCCGGCCGTTTCAAAAGCCACATCGTAAGTGGTGACGATATTTTTATGCGCACCCAAATGAAGACCATAATGAAATTCTCGGTAAAAATCCCGTAACGATACGTATGGTTTTGGAAGCGCTTTCAAAACCATTTCTGTGTCAGTCGCCCGATGCTCTACTAATAAAATCTTGCCAAACCAGCCCTCTCCAACAATTTGTAAAATGTCGAATTCATCGGATAAATTCACCTGAAAGCAATCCGAAATCAAAACGAGAAAACAGTGGAAGTATGTGAAATATGTGTCGGGCGTTTCGACACGCTAAAGAATGACACATCGGAATTTGTTCGAATCTGAAAAACAAAACTATTCACACGTAAGTACGCCTTACTAACCTTTTCCAATTCAAATTCACGTATCCTATGGATGTTCCCATGTTGTTTTCTCAAACTAGACGAATTCATATTTTTTTCTAAATTTTTTAACACACAGTTAATCAATGTTGTAAAGTATTTTCTTTCTAGTAAATTGTATCGATAATTTTGTGAAATCGATTCAAAAGTTTGCTTTCGCCAAATTTTTACGCAGCATTCCCAGATTTATTCATATCGATGCAATACATTTTATTTAATTGCGGTGTTTTCCGGATATAAACCATTCATTTAGCATTGCGCGCCGCTTTGATGTGAAGCTGGAAGTAGATTAGGTCGAAAAATGTAGCGAGTTCCACATGAAATGACGGTCATTGAATAAGGAGAAACGAAAGTGCGATTCATCGCTTTTTGTTTTTGTTGCTGTTTTGTGATATTATTTTTCACAATGTTTCCTTCCAAAGTTTGAAGCTGCGGTCAAACTAAGAGCACTTTTTGCAGCACGTCATGAGTGGTGCTTGGTCTACGCAATATTCGGGGTGATCGGTATTGTTTATTGAATTGTTTTGCGTTTCATTTTATGCTGCAAAGCAAACGCAAGGGGCCATAAACATTTCTGCGTCGATCAAATATTTTTTGGAACGTAAGAAAGTGTTTTTGATTGGAAAATTTTTATCGATACACACCAAATGTGTTTACGACGCATCAAACGGGCAATATTAGCCAATTAGCACATACGAATCAACAAAGATTTGAACTAATGCAACAACAAAACCAAACAAATATATCTCCATCTTACAATTGGCTGCAAAATATGGAATAAATGCATCGAAGACAAAAAAATAGAAAATAAAGAATGAACGCAAAATTGTATTATCTCTATTTGTTTGTTTTTCGAGTTTTCTTCTTAATGTGCATGCGTGTGAGTTTATATTTGTATGATTTTTCCGTGCCTATGTATTAAGCCGTAGTTAACTTTTAACTAATAGTTTTTTTTCGTTCTTTGCTTTTGTATTTTCATCATATTTTTCGTTCATTTTCGAGAATTTGTCGTCAACTTTTACGTGTTGAAAATACTTTTTTCTCGTTTTGGCGCTGCATCAAAAAAACGTCAGACATCTATGTGTCATGGTGTGGTGCGCAAGCCATAAATGAAATTTGATTCGAAAAGAAAATGGAAGAAATGAAAAAAAATAATGTACGAACCTAACGATTCTTCCGCCAATCATCGGAAACGGTTTGGTGAGATTACGAAAAGTTGTGTGAAAACACACAAAATGTGTCGATCGCAAAAGAGAGGAGATTGTCGTAAACGAATAGAAGAAGAAAACAAAGCCCGCTTGAATGCATCGGAAAATATTTTTGTGTCGAATAATTAAACACCAACACTATAACCTAGATCTCGGTTTGATTGGATCTCGACAACAACACGCATCGAAACTGTCTAGCCTACTATTGCTGCTACTAGTGTGTATTTTGACGTCATTTCGCATAAATGATTTATTCAGTGTGTCGGCAAAACGCTTTTTTACGATATTTTGTTGTTGGCACTACATGAAATGTAGAGCTATTGTTCTAGCTTTTTTGTCTCAATATTTTGATTTTGTGACTATCTTATCACAAAAAATGTCACAAATTTTAAAGTTCAACGAATTTTTGTGGTAAGATAGTCACAAAATCGAAATAGCTGCAGCTTATTAAGAGATAATGCTTGGGAACAGATATATTATGGTATCTGAATGTGTTCACTGGAATTTATATCATAGGACAAACATTTCATGTAGTGCCAATTGAATAGAAAAATTGAATATACTACGAGCGAAGCGAAGCTCTGTGATCTTGTTTTTTTATTCATGTTAACAGTGGCTCGGGTGGCATACATCGCGTAACGTATGCGACCGAACATTTACAAGGCAGAAAAATGGCAATGGAGCATATGAAAGATGTTTTTCTTTGGTTGTCAATGGATTTATTTCACTCATCTAATTGGGTAATGTTTTTCCGCTCTATGATATCAAAGATCAAGACAATCCAGCGATATTTTTTCTGTGATACTGTTACTCATTACGATTATTCGTTTTTGTCAAGTTCATTGGTCTGAATCATAAGCATCAAATGGATTATATGGCTCAATTTGACAGGCCATTGAATAATTCACAAATTAAAGTGAATTTTCGCGTCATATTGACATTCAGCCAAAATAGTTCAATTGAAAAAGACACCAGAAAATCGTCATGAAAATTGAATATAAGATGTAAAAAGCCAATTTGAGAGAAAAAAAATCGTCAACTGCAAATGGAAATTGAAACCGAAATCGAGTGAAATGAACGATTGAGTAACACACATCTTATTGTGATGTGAGAATAAATGGGCAGCAAAATATGAAATAGATTTATGCATATATATATAAAGACACATAAACACACAAAAATTCTCTGTATTCATTCGAAAAGCGAGTCTTTGGGGAAATGGTAAGCGTGTTCATGCTTTGCAGCTGCCTTTGCTTTATGTTGAATTGATGCAACAACAATATGTTCAGTTCATTTTTCTCGGGGAAAGTGATCAACATCGAAACGCAGACAGAGGCAGGGAGTGAGAGTGAGAGAGGAAGATATTCAGCCAAACCGAATGCACACAGATTTTCAGCTGAAGCCAAAATAATGGTCTAAAAATAAGAATTTTTTCGTTTGCATTTTACCATACTCATCACAAAATGCACGGATGCATTCCACTTAATGTTTCCTTCGGTATACAATGTAACGCTGTTTATCTAGCCGAAATTAGAGAACAAAAACTAAATCCTTTGTGGGGAACGTGTCTTTCGAACTGAGTATTGCGAGCACACATGTTATACACTGTACTCGGGAATTTGTCTTTCAAATTGTAAGTGTTTCAATGAATTCTTTTCGCTTGTTAATAGTTCATTAACTGGCACACACTCTGTCGTCTACATATAGTTCAATAAACATATATATTTTTTGTGACACAAAATCAAATTAATCGGGTGATCGATCGAAGGAAAATGCATATCATCTGCTTTTGTGTGTGTCCGTCCAATGAAATGAATTTGATTAAATGTTCCATTTTTTATGTGGATTAAAATAACAATTTAGCACATACACACGAAAAGAGAGGAAAAAACACCCAAGCAGTCAACACGACAACTAACAAATAATTCCGGTGGATTTGAGATGTATCTCCACTTCTTAACTGCAAATCACTTATAGACAGAGACTTTATTTCGGTCAAATTTTCCCTATAATCGGATGAAAATAGCGCTGTTATTCAATTATGACTGGTTTGCTATTCGATGAACGGATCTTTTTCGATCGTTTCATTTACTCAACACAAAGGCGCGCGCACACATATACATGCGGGACTGAGGTAGTCAACGGCGCGTTCATCGAGTCGATGAGATCGGGCATTCGTCTCGATCGGCTTGCATTTCATCGGAACCAAAAAAGAAGCAAGGGAACAACAATTCATGTCTATTTTCGATCACCGTCAGCGTCTAATGGCATTTCAAGCATGTGAAACGCTGTCGCACGCGCGTTTACTCGCAACTGTATATCGTTGCATAGTTTGATCCCGAACAACCAAGTGTGTGCTGTGTGCGGAATTGTGTACCTCTCACTCGAACATGACAAGATAAAGTTTCAATACCAATTTTCCGGCGCACGCATAAAAATAAACACGAGCTAAACAAAGTCATTTTTGTCATTTACCGTCAACATCGGCAAAACTCGCAATTCACACAACAGATGGTGCTCCGGAAATAATGGGCTTTCCTCTAAATTAAAGAAATATCAAACGGATAGAGTAAAAACAAGATTTGTTGAATTTTTCTTTAAACCTTTTTTTTCTTTATTTTCTTACTTTAGTTTATCTTCTGTCTATCGATTTATAATACAATGATTTTCCTCCACAATTCTATCATGTGATTCTCTATTTAATTCGATAATAATCTGGCTTTTGCTGTGACTCTTCACATGCGTGACTTTTTACGTATGCTTCTTCTTCTTCTTCAAATTTGAATAGTATTTAATGTTTTTAATTTTTGTTGTCATTTCCAAATTGATTTTACGAAAAAAAAATCATTTTTCTTGTTTATTTTTCTCACGTTTTGTCTAACTAATGGAGTGAGTGAAATGTGTGAGACTGATGGATAGGCGTATAATGTGATTAAATTTGTTAGTTATATATTTGTTGTTTTTTTCATCTCTTGAAATTCGCTTGCGCAGAATGTCCAATACAGTTTGTTGACGCAATTGTTTATGGGACTGATCGGGGTTTTGCTCAAGCTTGTGCTTTGCTTCACTTGTTTCGTTGATTGCCAACAACATTATTGGATATGCTGTGCGATTGCTGAGTAAAAATTCGACTAATTTATTGCGGTATTGAAAATGATGTGATTTTATCTACTTAGTTGTTTTACATTTCACTTTAATCTAATGACATTGGTAAAAACGCACTAATATATAGCTTTTCCTCATCGTGATACGTCGTAGTATGTGTGAGTGTCAAGTGTTCGAACTGCTAAATTTTCCATGCGAATACATAATTGGAAGAGTATCGATGTAGCCAATCTACATCTAAACCGAATTGTTAGTCAATTTACTTATTTTTTTGTTGTTGCTTATTACATTGAAATAAATTATTTTTCAACTACTAAAGAATTGAAAAGAAAGTCTAAATAATCCAATCATATGGAAAAAAAAAACTTAAAAAAAGATTCCACAGAGAGAACAGAACATTGAGTTCTCGAAAAAGAAAAATGAAAATGAAAACTTTGCTTTGTTTATACATAACGCTTTAACGGCCTATCACATATCAACGTTCTCTTCATTGTTTTTATTTTTATTTTATGTTAATATAAATGTTTTGTTGTTTTTTCTTTTTTTTCATTAAATTTACCCCTTTACAGCATTAAAAATTCTACGATACATTTATTATACCAATATAATATAATGATTTGTAATGTTAAATTAGTTTGTGTGTGTGTTGCGTATGTATGTATGTTTTGTGTAACGCCGCTTCAAAAGGAGAACTAAAATAATATCACAGGTACCTTGTGTGTTTTTGCAGTAAAGATTAGGATTTTAGTGTTGCGCTTGTTTCTTCTTTATCTTTTCTGTTTTAGTTTTACATGGCTCATACACACTAAGCGGTCAGAGTACATAAAAATTATAGATTCACAAACCAAACAAATTGTTACAAACTACTAATTTGATCATTGCTATGAAATGAAACAAAAAACACCTTTCAATAGTTTCTTCTTATTCTGCTTTTTAGCTAGTTTCGTTTTTTTTTCAGAATTGATGCGTCATCACGCAAACGAACTAGGAAATTCATCAATATTGCTATACGATTCTACATGATTTCGTTTAATGCGATAAATTACGAACAAGACGTCTATCTCTCATTTTATGTACAAATGATTCATTTATCCTATAATAACTTAAGCTACAATAATAATAATTTTATATAATTTAGCAGGTTTGACTATGTTTGTCTGTCGATGCTAGTTTTTTTTCTTTTTCAAATGTGTCTCATCTTCAGTAATTGAGCCGAATTTCAAATTCACATCCAATATTATTTGTTTTGCTTGTTTTTCGTTTCCAATTTCCGTATTTGTCATTTGCTTACTCACCTTTCATTCACAACTATTTTTGTCAGTTTTTTTTTTATTTCAAACATTTTACGTGAATTGTATACATTCCATCTGCTCTCTTGGGAAACAGTTGTTACAAATGAAAAACAAAGGAACGAAATCGAATAGTGGTGAACATGTAAATGTGCGTATAGGGATCGCCCAAATGCGACGAGTCATATGTTCATATCCAAAATGTTTGTGGGATTTGGGGGTGACGAAAAAAGCTTCGTTCTTGGTCTTGGTTTTTATTTTCGTTTGGTAAAAATTCTAAAAACTATGGATTTCATACATCAATGTGTGTGGGAGTGTGATTCGATTTACTTAGCCGGTGTATGTGATGTGTGATAAAGTCGGTAGGAAGGGATGCTTCGGTACGTAAGCTTATTTGATCGGGTGGACTTTGGATTCGAAGCGATCAGAGAATCATTTCAATCATTTCAGCGTGAATATAGTGAAAATAGTGAAATTTCAGTAAATGAATATTCGTCTCTGTGCGCACACACATTCGCTCACATCGTTCGATTGCACATTCGTTCGTTGAGCACACTCGGCTTGAGTGTAAAACAATGTATATGTGCGTTCAAGCTTAAATGTATAGCGCCCGCTCACATCGACGAACGCTCACTGCGCAGTGCGCAGTGCGCAGGTTCCACACAGAGACGAATATGTATTTACTGACATTTCGGTATTTTCACTATATTTACGCTGAAATGTTTCTCTGGATACGATTCAATAACCTACATTACGATGATTTGGTTTGAACAAAAACAAATTATATTCTTTTGAGTTGTGATAAGGCTAAAAAAATAGCTTGGAAATGTCGGCGATATGATTTTATATACAACAATTCTTCATGGATTTTATTCCTTCACTTTAGTCCACGTTTGGACACGTATTTCTTTTTTCTTCTTATTGATATGTTTTTATATTTTCTGAGCGTATCTAAAACAGAGATGAAAATCCATTTTCTGCTATTCGAACACATTCATAATATAATTCGAAGCCATTCTCAATTTTCATTATTTTCGAAATGCATTTTCTACTATTCATTTGATGACTTTTTTCCCAATATAATCTAAAATTACGAAAGGTGTCCAACCAATTTAGGGGGTAATAGTTGTTGGGGTATGTATCTTATGCAATACATTATAGATTTGATGCATTAGTTCTACACATATGATATCAGTCGTTTATAAAATGCGCAATGTGTTTGGTTTCTTCTCCTTCTTCTTCTATTTTATATTTATTTGCAAAGTTTTAGTTCCGCTGATTTTATGCAAAATTCACATCAAATTTCAGTGGAAATTATTAATTCTGTGTGTTGAAAGGGAGAGAAAAGAATGCTACAAGTTTCTACATAATTGGAGATTCAATACCTGACATGAAACTACTACTCTAATCGCATCACATATAAAGTGTATGTGTAAATGTATATCTATATGTGAATGTTTTACTTGCTTAACCAAAAGCTTCTTAGCGAATACATTCAATAAATACACCTATATGCGAAAATGGGTGTTTGTCGAAAAAGGAGTTTTTTGCATCGATTTGGGCAAAACAGCCTCCGAACTTTCTCATCGAAGCATTTTCGAAATTGTTTGCTTTTTGCATCTTAGCAACTTGATCCGCCTTTATTGAGAAATTATTTGCAATTTATATATGTATTTATGTTACATACGTATATCTATATTATGCGTACATACGTGTGTTGCTAAACGACGTAGAACAAGTTTAGGCTTTTTGATAAATAGCATTGTTTGACAATTAACCACAAAAGTTTTTTGGAGTTTGGGCCAGAAACATGCTTTTCAATATTGCACCATTTAAATGCAAATTTTCACACACGAAACATTCAGCTCATCGGGCTATTGGTTGCTACGACTTGAGTTCACTCGAACTGAACTGAACTGAACTGAACCGAACCGAACCGAACCGAACCAAAACGTAACGTGAAATGGCGACGGCACATAGACCAAGAGCCACAACGCCAATGTCGAAACTTTTAATATCGTTGTTGTTTTGGCGAACACACATGACTCTTGAGCTGTTTGTTCTTGCTGCCGTTGCCGCATTTGAAAAGCTAAATTACTGTAATAATTGGCAGTGCTTTTGGTTTGACGGTACGTTTGTGTGTTTGTGTATAATATGAGACAATCTCTCCCGTATCGCTATGACTACTAACGGTTTGTATTGCGCGTATCGAAATATAGTAGTTTCATTGTAGTTGTGTTTGTGTGTGCGCTGCGCTTATGCATGTGTAACATATTGTATCACTTTTAATCAAGGAGTGGAAAGACGCTGTGTATTTTGCAAAGAGTCGTAGTAATCATGCAACGTATAATAAACTATTTTCACTATTCTCAATTTATGATGAATTCTGAATTCAAATTTCTTTTTGCCGCACAAACAAAACTCTTCACTCGTTATACCGCTCGCTTTTCACCATCGTTGCGTTCACAGGCAAGCAAACAAAAGGAGAACAAGAATAAGAAGATCTGTCGTGGTTAATGGGTATTCAGTTTTCGACTTTTGTCTTCTGCTCGTTGTCTTCGCCAGTATTCCTCTATTTCATTTTCTTGCCATAATATTTCTCATTTCCTCCCTTCCCGTAGGATGTTTTTCGGCTAAAACTTGCAAAGTTCAAGTTTTCTTAACGGTCCGTGGAGAAGTTGAAAACTTTTTAATTAATTAAGTTTTCAATACTCTTCTCGTACAAGCTTATTTCGGCTAGATAAATGGCTCTGGCGTTTTTGCCATCAAAGCGTCGTCGGTTTCGGTTTGGTTTGTTTCGAGTGAATCGAATGGGCGCAAAAAGTGAGTTTAACCTCCCCATTTGAGTTTATGTTTGAATATTTATGTTACATATTTTATTTTAAGTAATAATTATATGCGTAATTATTATTTGGACGATGATGAACAAACTAAACCAAAGAGTTGTTGCTGCTACGGCTCGTGCTGGCATTGGTAGCGGCGGTAGTGCAGCTCTAGCATAACCGACCGCGTAACTGTGCTCCAATATTTATTTACACATTCCAATGAATTAAATTGCTACCCAGAGCAAAAGTCTATCTCATTCCAACTTTCTCGTCTGTTGGGCCCTTTTCACAACGCACAATGGGCTTTTTGTTGTTAGTTCTGTATCACAAATCAAGTTTTATTATCCAGTTTATTTCCCACACATATTTAAATGTGTGGTGAATGTTTGAGAATTGAACATTTTTCTTAATTTTGGGCAGTAACTTTCGCCAGCTGATTGTTCGACGCTGATTGAGGTGGTTCACCGGCTTCAGCATACAAACTGCATGAGCAACACGATGAATCGCCATCGATTTCACCAGCCGAGCTACAACAGTCGCTGGTGCTGGTAATCATGCGATCGTGTTCCGTGGTCTCGTCATCATTTTCGTAAATATTGTCGTTACCGTTTCCGTTTAAAATGTCATTTCCATTCGTTGTACAGTGGTTGGTTGTTTTGCCCGTGTGCGTAGGATGCTGTTTGTTCGTCTGTGACGATGATCGCTGGTGGCATGATTCTTTGCAATTGCTATTCTTACTGCTACGCTCTTGGCTGCTGTGCGAATGCTGCGAATGCGATTTCAATGAGTGGTCTGAGCATTCCGATGAGCATTGATACAATTGTTGTTGGGAATTTGGTTTGTTGCATTTGTGCACGCTGCCGCCGCCACCACCGTTATTGGCCCAATTTGCTGGATTCGGAAGCAGTGGCTGTTGTGGTGATGTCAATGCATCATAACTGCTGCACATTCGCGTATTGCCGCATTTCCGATTGATGCCATTGTTCGAATGGTATGGCTGGTACTCGACTGAGTGTGCGTGATTCGATGGATAGTGAGAATGGCAACTTTTTGTTGTTTGCTGATGTTGTGGATAGCACGATGTACCGTTTCCATTTGGCAAAGGTGGCTGATGGTTCGGGAAGCGATGCACATTTGTTGACGATCCATTTGTTGGATATTGAATGGGATTGTTATAGAAATTTTCCACGTATTGATGCTGTGACGGTCCCCATGGAGAATAACCAACGGAAGCCGGACCGCACGAGCCATTGTTCTGTGCCATTAGACTGAAATTTGACGGAAAAAAAATAGAATAAAATAATAGCACATTTCTGAGTTTGAATGTTCGTTCACACGAAGTGAAATTCATTTCTGATATTTTTCAATTATATCCAATCCCTCTTTCCTCCTCTCTTCTTGAAAATTATGAAATTCATCCGAGAATTGAATGGATAATATGCCGAAATTCCCGATTGATTTAGTATTACAGTGCACCCCCGCCAATTAGAAATAAAATGTCCAGAGACCATTTCTAATTTGAGGGGTTTTCTAATTTCTGAGGATTTTTCAATTTCATCCAAAAACGGTGTATCAAATGAAAAGCTGATAGGAAGAATGATTTGCTTAATTGAAAACGATATATTGAACACTGTTCAATCAAGTATTGTATGTAAATACATGCTATTTTAGTGATTATAAATATATAGTAAGTCTGTTAGTTTATTTTACTGGATAAACTACTCCTCGGAACAAACCGAAATAAATGATGACCGGCTGTTCTTATTATATCATAAGATAGTAAACAGAAAACTTAAGCATTCTATATACAATTTTGTATATGCAATTTGCATCTCTGATGGAACAAATCGGTTTCGATTTGTTAATGATTGAAGATTGATGATTGACGCAGACAATATGGAACAGATTACTTCGTGACTTAATTTTTAACTTCATGGTAAACGTCGAAAATCTCAAGCTGATCTGCTTATATAGTTATTCAACGAAATGGAAAAGACTTTCATTACGTTTTTTCATTGAAAATGAAGTAAATTTCCTTTGTCTTGAATAAAATGATTCGGAAACCCCGTGAATTAGAAATGAACCCCGGAAATTAGAAATTTCCCATACAAATTTTCAAACCTGAAATTCATTTCTAATTTCTGAGGTTTTCTAATTTTCGGGTTTCAATTTTGCGGGGGTGCACTGTATTGAATATTTCAATTTTCAATATTCATAAAATCTTCACTCACTTTGGATGATTTGCCAATCCCGAGCCAACCCATTGAGCTGCTGCTCTTCGCATCGACCCAGGACTTGTCGGCACATAGCACATTCCCATCGGTTGAGCACAATTAGCTAACGGCAACGGTGGTGGATGCTCCGGTGGTGGTGGCAAGAATTCAGTCCAATTTGCTATGAAAAAAATGCAAAAGCAAATACTCCAGTTATTTTGGAATTTCATACTCAGAAAGTGGTGAACGGGCGTGGGTCTGCTTGTCTGCAAAATGTGTGGAAATGAAGCAAAATGAAAATGAATGATTTGTACCAGGCGGTGGGAATGATGGATATCCAAGATTGGCTTTTGATTGTGTGTTAAATGATTGATTTGGATCCGAATGCGGGCTTGATGTACCAGATGAATGACCGTCTGAACGTTTCGTGCAGCTCTCACCTGAAGATCCATTGCCATTGTTAAGCAACATTGTCGTAGCATATGGTGTGGGGTTATCGGGAGACTGAAAGCAAATGGAATCCGATTAGTCAATGATGAATCGGTAGCACGTCAAAATGAATCAAAGACAAGGAAAACAACTCACCTTGCGACAATTGTAAAATGTACTGAGGTTCCGTGTATCAACTTCGGCGTAGTCTGTTCCGCCATCGGTATAATTTCCCTGTGATAGTGTGCTTGAGTTGCCCAATAGTTTTGCTTCACTCAAACCGGAGTCTTTGTCCGTATCGGCTGCTCGCCACCCGCGATCTATCCATAGACTTTCCTTTCCATTGATGTTCAAAGCGGTTATATCATTTGCATTCACAACTGGAACTGATGAAATTATTGAATATTTAAATAACGTTTTTTTCAATGACTTTTAGACTTGAACTATTTCATTTTGACTTACCATTTAGATGACCGATTTCTTTCGTGTTTTGATGACGACGCCTAAAGAATATCATTCCAACGGTTGCGATAAACGAAAACAGCAACACCACAATTGAAATCAAAACAATGAACCATGGTTCGTGAATAAGATTCTGCGGTTGCTTCCGTTGTTGATGATGATCGTCGAGACCATTAGCTGAACCGCTTGGATGTGCTCGTGGCGGTGTTACTAAATGACTTGGATCCATAGTCAATGCAACCTGTCGGAAAACATTCCAGAAAAAAAAAATTCATTCATTTTATCACAATACGTTTCCGCAACGTGTGAATCATTTGTGCGGCTTGCATCTGATCATATCTGCCTTGAGAATGCTACACCACAGCGCACACAAAACACATATGATGTTCAATAAAAATCCAAATAAATTTTATGAACTTTCCACAAGTTCATAAAACACTTGCACGCCCCATGCAATTTATCAAAATTTACTGTGGGTGGCGACGGTGTTATTTTTTAATGAAATAAGCAGACTAACAAGCAACGCGAATATCCACTCAAACGATTGCACACATAGTCGCAATATATGGATATTCCATGGAAATTGGTGATACGTGTGCAAAATATCTCTCCATTACACACACGCTCTCCGGCCATTGATTATTTCATTTAACATACCGGCTGAGAATATGGTCCAGCTCCAACACGTGTGTACGCCACAACACGTACAGCGTACGTAGCTCCTGTGGTTAAATTATTTAACATAACCGACATTGTGGTTGCGTTCAGTGTCATTTGTGCAAGAACTTTGCTCGAATTACCAGCTTTCACCTGAAAATAGTCACACGCACACACATTCGAATAATAATGTGACGAATCAAATTAATGAAAACCAATGCGATTTTGCATGGACAGAAATATTCGAAGCGACAAAACAACAATAAAAAGGACAAAACATTTCGGAGCACAAAAGTGTTGTGGAATGGATTGAAATCGTTGAGGCACCAAAAACACACAATGACAATTTATGCCTTGTGTTTATATGCATTTCAAATTCAATTGAATGTAGCAAACCTGAATCTTATAGCCGAGGAGATGTCCATTGTGATGCTGCGGTGGTGGTGGTGACCATCGTACCTGAAACATACATTTGGATATTTACAATTTGCCAATCGGTGATGCAAACTTAAGACACATAAATGTTGTTTGGAACGGTTGGCGTGTTGAAATAATCCCAAAGATACATACCCATCCCGCGGTCAGGTTGAGCATTCCCGTTTGAACATTATCTGGTGGTGCCGATGGAACTGTATAGATAAATGATTCATTTTAAATTCAACATTCGATCAATTTTCGTTGTATATTTTTCTTTTTTATTTGCTTTTTCAAATTATTTAATGAACTTTTGATTCTGATATTAATGTGATTATTAACACTAACCATCTTCAAATGTTTGCACAATCTTTGAGTTGCTTGGTTGACCTTCGACAGTTCGATAAAACGGTGCCACAAAGAATTCGTACTTGGTGAACTTCTTCAAATTACCAACAATGTAATTTTGAGTCGTTGGACTCATTACCGTCATTATATTGTATTTTTGCGATCCACCACTCAAGTCACGGAATCGAATGTATAAACCCTATGGGAGAAAAAAAGTTCGAAAATCAATAACCATATTTGGCCATAAATTTAAAATGATATTCATGCATAAAATATTCAAGCGATACATATTCAATTCTGCATTGTAATTTTAGTTAGTCTTTTTTTTCTAGAAATGAAGACATTCTTTCAAAATAGTCACATACCTCAATGTATTCCCCATTGCCGCTGATATGCAGATGCCAATCCAATCGCACTGACGTTGAATTAATGGCCAATGCATCATTCAATTCGACAACCTGAAAGCAAAGAATAATGTTTTGATTCAGAAATTGTGACAATTTCATCGATCTTGCATGCATCATTTTCGCGAATGACAGTAGTTTTTCGTTTCCTCGCGTTTAAAAAAACGTATTTAGGTGAAAAACTGTTTAACGTTTGTGCAAATCGATGCGATATTTAGAATAGTAGTGTCTTTCAAGCACGTTCTGACGTTTCGGTTTCCATTTAAGTGATTTGTCTATTCCGTATTTCTGAAATGTTTACAGCGAGCTTTTATGATTGTTGTCTCGAGTCATCGATAAAATATGCATTGGATCGAGTAAAAAAAAATCGAGGAAAAGTCCAACGTTCATAAATATTCATTGGGTTACTGCAGATAAACCGAATTTATGAATTCAATTTGAGTTGGATTTTTCTGTGTGGATATTCAACCATTGAAAAACTATTTGCTACATTTGCCAATTTCATTCCACAACGGCTTTTGCAACATTCAAGACAGAGGGAAATGTGTAAGTAAATCCGCATTTTACAATGTCATATTTGCAATGCATTCACATTGCTTTTGCAATATATTTTGCATAAAATTATGATTTGTGCAAGTTCTTCGGAGTGCATTCGTTTAGATTTTGTCACATTTGTCGCGGCATATTCAAAAACTAATGGTGATAACAACAACAAAAACAACCGAAGAAGACAATATTAAAGGAATCAAGTTTTTAACACAAAACATGCTAGAATAACTCAGTTCGGTGCACTTTGCATCCAATAAACGGAAGTTTTACATTGTGTCTGCCATTTTCCCACTCTACATTCCTCTCGCGTTTTTTTTTCTTCTCTTAAAATGTCATGCTCTCTGCATTATTGCATTATTGCTCCGTTGTTTCCGTTTCACCATTTTCGCTTTGACTTATATATTTTTGTTGTGCGCCCGCCTGTGTAATATATTTCATTTGAAAGAAACTTTGGTGAAGAACAACAGATGAAATGTGATTTAAGTGCTAAAGGAACTGCTAAGAATGGAAACAACAAAAAAAGTGCAGCCAAGATCAGCAACGAATAGAAGAAAGAGGAAGATGAGGGAAAAAAATTCCATGAAATTTCCTTCTGGGGAACAGTAAATGGCAAGTTTCAGAATAAGACAGTGAAAAAAAACACATCGATGGAAAGCGAATTTTTTTCTCTCCCTTATTAAAATACACAATGTAATATAGCAAGAGCAGCTGCATCAACAAATTCATTTCTTGTGCATTAAATATTTACGAGAGCAACACGAACAGTGATAGAGTCAAGGCGAAAATATGTTCAGAGAGAAAATTGCGGACGAATTGCATGCGTAATGAGAATGATATAACAAGCCTTTTTTGCCTTCAATCCTTGCGAATATTCTTCTCTCTTGTGTTGGCTTGTATTTTTTCAGACGAATCACTAAGTAAATGAGTGTAAAATGCTCATTATTATCTGCAAACTAGTCATAATTTTGTGTTACAGCTTTTTTTTTCACTTCAGTTTCCTTTGCGCACATTTGCTTGCAAAATGTTGTTGTTTCTGACTCTGATTTTGTACGTTCCAACAACTTCATTTTTTGTCTCCCTCCCACACGAATGCAGATCGAAATGAAAATTCATCGAATATTCTGTGTGCTAAACAACATTAAAACATTTCTTTTTCTCTGATTCTCGGTAGCATCTCATTTAGTTTGGTTTACCCCAATTTTCTACCCCCCATCTCTTTCTCTATTTCTGACAAATTTTTTCCTTATTACAGTTCTGCCTTTTGCAGACTTAAGCAATTTTTATCCCAGTGAAAACACTAGTTTTTTTGCATGTCATGTAATTATTCCTCTTGTGTTTAATATATTCAATGAGTTTGCCCTGCAAAGCACAATAAATGGGCGAACGAAGAAAAAAAACTGCAGGTACGCCTGGAATCTCTATTGTTTACCAACGATGCGAAAAGTACATAATTTGATTTTGCATTCACTTCATTATTTGCAAAATTTGATATAAAAGTGCCAATTTTTCAGAAGAATTTTATTGAATGTGAAATATAAACCACACCTTCAACAGATGTGTCTCAGGTAATATGTTTTTGATTTTGGCTCAAAAACAATCTGATCAAAGCGGTAGAGCATGTTAGCCATTGCCATTAACAAGAAATATAGTGGGCTTTTGTGAGTTGATTGTGCCTTGATGTTTTTGCGATCGGCCGGAAATCAAATGTAATTAAAAAGTATATTTCAAAATGGATCACTTCGAAAAATGGTTGTATGGTGCAATTTATGTTACCGACATACATCATCCATGTGATATTTTGTGACGCCGCCCGTTTAAGTGTGTTTTCAATGTGCGTTTGCGTTGTTAATTTATTGGTTTGGCGTTCGACTGAATTTAATTTAAATTCTTTATAGGAACGCGTGGTCGGTGCACATGCACAGCATGTGTTCGCTAGCAATTAGAATAGAAACTTTGGTAGCATCAGCATAAATTTTATTTTTGCACTTGACACACTACCCATTTGAAATGTGTGTGTGTGTGTGTGTGTGTGTGCTGAATCAACGCAACATGTAACCATTCGATTGGAAAATGTGTGCTCACCATTGAAATGTGTCGAGCTAACAAAGAACACGTTATAAATTACAACCTGTAACCAAACAAAATCGAACAGGGGGCCATCTTCAGCCATAATCTACGTGGCGACCACAAATATGAACAACGATGACAATCTGGACATTTAGTGCTCCATATTATTCGCATCGAATTGAAATGTGTGCAAAAATATAGCTTCCACGCCTGTTCTAGGATTTCTATGTTCGTCCGTCCGTTTGGGATTTAAACACGGACAATTTAATTTTATTCGTCCGTTTAGCATTTTGGTCGTCCGAAAAACATCCGAAAATAAAATTTTGGAAACATCACCAATGCGCACAGACGTCCTCGTTTCAGGAGGACAGTCCTCGATTTTGATAGCTGTCCTCGCGTCCTCGGAGATTAAAATGTTCTCGTTTTTACCGGTTGAATAAATTTCAAAAATTCATTTAAAAAACACGAAAATAGGAGAGAAAATTAGAGACTAAATTGAAATTATTTTTTTCCAAAATAAATAGCTTCATCCGGAATATGCATTTTCCGTCCATATCAGCTGATTTATGGACCTTGACATTTCAATGCGAATTAGTATTCATTTTCATTCAAATTAAACAGCCCGTAATTCGATATCCATTCGATAATCAAAACAGTCGATAAAATGTTGTTGAAACATATTTCGATCTTCGAAAAACTTGTGAAAGTTCTTTCTAAAAAGTGAATGATAATAATCCAAATTCAGTACCCCACTCTATTATTCATGAAATTCCAAAAATTGAAAACGTTTCCCCTTTTTTCTTAATCGAGAAAACGTCCTCGTTTTTCGTGAAAAAAATCTGTGCACATTGGAACGGACAGTGAATGGAATCCGAAACGGACAGGACAAAATTGAATTGTTCGTCCAAAAAAGAATCACAAAAGGACGGACGGACAAAATCCGTCCTATTGACACCTTTATCCAAGCCAAAATTACTGCCACATCGAAAACCACATATTCAAAACCTGAATAAAATATCGAGCTGTAAATGACCGTTAATATGTTCTTTGAATGGCAAATCCCCTAGCCAAATATGGTGTATATCATAATCAACGATGTAATCTTCCATCGTTGGAGTTGATGTATGGCGCATCGCTTTGTCTTGAGCTCAAAAAGCGGCTTCCATACAGGGTGAATAACTTTTGTTGAGCGATCTCCCGCTCTTTGTGCAAGGAGTAAATGGAGAAAATGAGTAAAATATGTGGTCAGAACATGACAACGCAACAATATATATTAAATGCGAAAAGTTAAGCTTTTGATAAATATTTGGGTTTTCCTTGCATCCTTTGGTTACGGACAACTAAAGCCTCTGTAAAATGATGCGTTATACGGTTTTGTGTTGAAAATCAAACCTCGGCTAATACGGTCCGGCTCACAGTCCGACCTTGTTTGAAACAAACAACAGTTTTGATCCAGTTGCAAAATAGCTTTTTAATGAAGGCGGGTTGTTGTAAAAACGCAACTCTTCCTAACTTTGAATACCTCTGACGCTATGTACTGCTGTACACTATGCACTTTCTATACATGGTACGGTATGGATTGTTGTTCAATCAATCAGCTCATTGAATTTTCGGACCGATGTTCATTTCCTCAGATTTTGCGAAAGTTGTTTAGACCTTTTATCTGTATTGCAGCTTCAAACCCAATAGTTTAAACAAAAAGCATACGGCTACTTCTTCCGCTCAACAGCATTTACACAGAGCGATAAAAGTGCATGATCGATAAATAGATTGAAAACCACACAAATAAAAGCAACCGAAAAACATGAAACAAATTGAAATTAGCTTTTTCCTCGCTCTCCTCCCTATTCAGTCGTACAGTCGCATAGTCACAGCCGAGAGCAGACGATAGCATTACATTAGCCAATGCTATGTATGGATTACATGGATCGCATCGAATGCAGCAGCAACGTACACACACACACACACCCATACACCCATATACACCCATACACACATTGTGCACAGTAAATTATGGAATTTTTGGCAAATGTTAGAGAGACCAGAAACGGCCAACGACCATAATATAACCATAGAGGAGCACCTTTGGCTCAACTTGATTTCATTACGATGTTCGCTCTCTAGAACATAGTCTGCTCCGGATGCGAAACTTTGATAAAAAATTTAACGAGAAAATCTTTGCGAATCGCTTGCTTTTTGTAGATTGAGTTAAAATGTGAGAGCTTGCTCGAGCTGGTCAGCGCAATCACTCGATGTTCATTCAACCAGTTTGTATCTAAAAGAGTAATCACTTTTTATTAATTTTCAGAATGCAGATAATAATATTACAATTAAAAAAAATAGCCAGGAAGTGAGCTGCAGATTTATGAGTTTTTCATAACTCTCTGTATGCGCTAGCCACAGACTTTTCCCACGATTGCCTCTCACATTTTATGCGCGTACCCTGTGGAGTGAGGTCTACGTGTTACTCAACCGCTTAAATATGAAAAGCCGTTGCGTTTTCTCTTCCTTTTCCCTCCTCACGTTTGAATACAAAATGATGATTCTTCGAACGACAAACAATTAAAACGTTTCGTTAGCACATCAAGTGTTACAAAATATCGCACAAAATGTGCACATAAATACAATTAATTCACAATTTACAATCTCTCGGGCTTGTATTTTTTTCCACCACATTTCACTTGGATAATTGCCATGTGGACCAGGTGAATTGCGGAAATAGACACCCATACCAACACATATAGATCTCTGTCTATTCTTTTTAACTTTGTATGAGGTGCTTAAGAGTCGACGCGTTTACACAGCTAAAAAAAATCAACACTCTTGAAAATACTTGAAGGAGCGGAAAATGTCTAAGATTCGGAACAAAGAGAATGAAAGCTCTTGGTTATTCTTGCTCGTTAAATACCCTCCATGCTATTCGCTTTGAATGAAATGAATGAATTCTCTTTTTAATGTTTCTCTCTCTTTCTCTCCCCCTCTCTCTCCCTCTCTCTCTCTTTCTGTGTGTGTGTGTGTATCGCCCCACACAGACTACTGGAAGCGCGTACGAATATACACACACTCATTAAGCAATTTCTTTCGTTTTGTTGTTTTTTTTCTGTGTTCTTTTTTTCCGTCTTCAAATAAACCGTTTACAAGACGTTTTGAGGATGGCAAGAATTCAAGATTCGAACATCAAGGAGAGGGAGAGAGAGAGAGAAAAATGCACATTTAATCGTTATCTTCTTGGGATGAGATGTTAGGAGAGGTTGTAGTGAGGCTCTATGAAAACGTGCTTGGATATTTAAATCCTTATGCCTTGGCATCCGAACGGAATAGAACATTTGTAGGAACGAAAGAGAGAAAGGAACGTTTCAATTTCAACAACTTTACACAGATTTTAATTGCTTTATATATTTTTTTAATTGCAAAAAAAGGAATTAATGTGTAAGACTGCCTTTAAATATTCGGTTAGAGGTAGAGAGAGGAAGATGAAAAAAAGTGATGACGACAACCACATTTTGAATATCTGTGTATGTGTATTTTTTGTGTGCATTTGTTTTCATTAGTGTTTTAAGGGCTTTGTAGAGTAAAAATGTTGGAAATAGTTTTCTGGACGGTGTTGTTTTTTGCTGTCGACAAAAGCACGTTGAGAGTCTCAATTTGAGACTTCTCCTTGAAAGGAAACGACGCAGGCGACAACTACACACTCCATTCAATGCAATGTGGTTAAAGTAGTGATAGCAACTGAATCCGATTTTTGTCGTTAGTGTTTTTGTGAATGAAAATTCACACATAGAAAGGCAGAGACAGAGGCAGCAAGAGAACGTCAGAGAGAGAGAGAGAGAGAGAGAGAGAGAGAGAAAGAGAGAGAAAGAGGGATAAAGACAAAGTGATCGCCATTCTTTCCGGACATGACACGCTCATGTTCACACAATGAAAAAAAATTTGTGAGGCATGCGGCGAACATGAAAAATCCATTGCAAATCCTAATTGCATGTAATTAACGAATACATTCGCGGCTTCAGCATTGCCATTGTAAAAAACTTTTTACCATTCATTTCCACTTGACGACTGTTGTTCAATCAAAGCACATTTGGAAAAACAACAACGAAGGAGAAGAATCATCAGAAGAACACACTGAAAAAAATTCTTTACGATTTCGGGCTTACGAATGCAATTTTAAAAAGTAATAAAAGTTCCAGTCTGCGTATTTGCCGTGCCAACATTCTCTCGAAACTTTGACCTTGTTGAGTTTTCCATTCGCCTTATTCGAATGAAATAAAAAAATGTATTTTCTCACATTGCGCTGGACAGTCCATGAATGCAACACCAGCGGTGGACACTATGGTTTTATTTACATATAGACGAAATGTGGACTTGGTTTTATCAAAATATTCAAAGTATGTTGAAAATGCGTTGGTTTAGCACTCGATTCAAATGTAATGCTTACCTTGCCACTGAGCACATTTCGAGCAGCTGATAGTTCTGATTGTGGTATAACACCATTTTCTGCACCCAAAGTCTTCACCACCGACGATACGGTTGATGGAATCGATAATCCATGAGAATTCTCCGCTCGAACGAGGAATATGTACGATGTAGCCGGCTTGAGTTCACCAATCTGCAAAAAAAAAAACAGTAGTTTGTTGAAAATGTCAAATCAAACATCAAAAGTATTGTTTTGGGTACGGTATGTGTGTATTATTTTCAATTTTCGTTCCATTTTACACTGCACGTGAGGGATGATTTCATTTTTGCGACAGTATTTAATGCAAAATTAACAAGCTTCACAAGTTTTTGGCCAGTGGATATAATTTGAATCAGCGTACTGAACACCGACTGAACCTAACATTACAGCCACAGTTCTACTGCTCGTTCGTCTGTTTTGGCATTTTATCGCTTCAAAGGAGTGTGTGTGTGAATTGGAAGTGTTTATGATGGTTTTTGTACGAAAGTTTTCACGAAAGCACAATAAATTATACTTACCGTAATTGTATGACCGGGGAAACGATGAATAGCAACCACCCACCCAGTCTGCAAATCCGAACTGAAATACTCGACTGTGTATCTATAGATGGAAAAAAGAGAAGAAAGACGAAATGAGAACAAATGCCCGAAGAAAATAAATTACGGTGAAAATTTCATTTTAATATTTTACAAAGACCTAAAAACAAGAAAGGGTTATGAACAGCAAAAAATGTGACGAAAATACCAAACAGTGCACACAAACCAGATTCAGAGTGCCAGAGAAAGGGCAAACAATGCCATGTAAGCTCGTTCGTCCGTTTCATTGCAAAAATATATTTAATTTTATTTAATTCTCATTGAAATAATTGTTTCGTTTGTCTTTTTACGTGTTGTTATTTTCCTTATGCCATAAATGCCAAGCAGTTGTAGGGTTTCAACTCGGAACAACAATTGGGACTTGTAGGCAAAACGTAAATGAAAAACCGAAGAATAATTGCTTCATCCTTCCATTTTAGCAGAAATGTTCTTCAACACAGCCGGATCAAATGATTACAGTTATCACAACTGAAAATTTATCGAGATTCAAGTTTGGTCCACTGTGAGTCGACAATTAGAAAAAATGGCAATTGTAAAATTCGTTTCAAGCCAAAAATTCAGCCCGAAATTTTCAATTGTGTTTCTGCGTTTCAGTACTAGTGGAAAGCATACAAATCATGATTACGGTTGTTCATTTTATTTTTATGATACCCGGAATTCGAGCTTAATGTCGGCCGTCGAATCGTTGGGCCATAGATAGAGAGGGAGAAAAACTTAGAATCTGAGAGGAAGAGCATGAGCAAGAGAAAGAGCAAAAGTTGGTTATTATTCTTGCTCTTGCGACAGGATTTAAATTCGTATGTTCATACGAAGCAACTTTTCGTTATAAAATCATTTTCAGCCATTGCTGTATGTTTTATATGGATCATACACATGAAAATAAATGAAATAAGTGGATTTATTATCATAAAAATAAATTTTGAGCATCTAGTTTAACTTGGATACATAAAGCTTGATGTATGTTTTGTTGCCGTAGTTTTTGTTGTTGAGATTTTTTTTGTTCTGTTTTTCTTGAACTCTGAGAAGAAGAAAACAATGCGCTAGAGATGGTTTTGAAACCATTCAAACTTCAGCTCTATAATGTGTGTGTGCTTGTGCGAGGGAAATAATTTTTATAAATACATAATGGAAATTTGTCATTTGATTTTCGTTGAAAGTCGTGCCACATGCAGTGCAACGCGTTGACTCTCGTGAATCCATCCGTTCTCATCAACAGCCGCGTGTCTTCAAGCGCTTTTTAGCTTTCCAGTCATATTCTTGCTCGTAAAATAAAAATAACAGCCATCCATTGGTGCGTGTGTCGCGTATATAGTATATACTATATACTGTATATACAAGTGCTCAGCCTCATTTGAATATATTGTTTCAAATCGCATGAACAAAAATAGAAAAAGAATTGAAGAGAACGAGATTTTCGGAGTGAAAAGCACAATACTTTTGCCACTCTTCCAAATGCCGAATATAATGTTTAATAACAATATTGTGCAAACGCGAGACGCGCATAAGTGACGCGCTCCCGCGTCTACACATCAAATGTTCGCAAATTATATTGTCGCATGTATCATGGTACATACTTCGTCACATTGTTTTTATTCCATATCCATCCCCTCCCCCCACAATCCCGCACTTTTTCCCATGTTCAAACACACTCTAAAATTCACGCATATGTATATGTGTATGTAGACACGAAGATATTTCACTTGTCCTCTTTTACCACATATCACAGCCAAATATTATTAAAACTGAATCTTATTTCCTGCACAAAGCCTGACTGAATGGGAAGTATCTCTCGTACATTGTGTGTATTATTGTTTTCTTAATGTATTCACAAAATTGTGAGAGAACGGGCTGTTATAAAGAACGCTGGATGGTGGCGTAGATCACATTGTTTGTTTGCATGACAGTAAGAAATGATACAAAGTTGTCGCCACAAGAGAGTTCGAGCTCCGAACAGTGAGTGTGTGTGAGATAAAATATAGAGAAACAATAATTTTTTATGTATTCTTTGTGTTGGTGGCATCGAGCTCTGAATATAGCGTGTTCGTATGTGTTGCGAATTACTTCGAAACAACATAGCATAATCGAATGAAAATGAGACCAAAAACTTAGGAGATGGGGTAAAAATGGGGGGAATGAGAACAACCAGCAACGTTTGGGTGCTGTGTAGACAGATTAAGAAGCACATACACATAAACACAAACATATTCAAATGCTTGGCATCGAGAACCAACGAAGATAAAATACGAATTATCTCTGAATATACATTTGGTTGGGAAAACACCGCATCGTCGAGCAATAAAAATTTTCACCAATCGAACTAGAATTTTACTTAGAATATTTGGCTGAAATTCGATATAGAACCTAACGAGTATGGCAAGGGCAAGGACAAGAGAAAGAGATGGTGCGTCGGCAATCTATTGAAAATTTTAAGAAGCTTATACCATTGTTTGTGTGGCTTTCAATATCCTTCATACAAAGTGAATCGCTTGACATAGATACGGGTTGTTCTGCACTGTTCTGCTAAGATACAAACACATACATATCAATTTTGTCGATGAGCAAAGCGTAGAGACGCACATTTTCAACGCGCGTCTTCTTCTTTTTTAATCATATTTAATAAGATTAAAAGTTTTGAATGCGTGAGCGCTCACTCACTGTGTGTGAGTGTGTGTGCATATCTGCAAAAAACGTTGCGCAAATTGGTTGACAGTCACTTCTCTACTGGAATTATGCACGCTCACAAATCAGCATATTCACTACGATACAAAAGACAAAATTCGCCTGAATAATTCCAAAGAAAGTAATAATGTGCAACACTCACGAATTCACGCCTAAAAGGAGCAGTGAAACGCGAACGATGAAAATGAGAACCAAACGTTTAGAACAACATTTTATTGGATTTTCATTGAATCGCGACTAAAACACGCTCTTTCACTCATTTTGTTCGCTTTACGCTGCTGCTGCCGTTCCCTTCAGATTACTTTGCTGCCTCGTGTGTGTTTGGATGTTTGCGCCCCGAATTTTGAAATATTGATAATGTTTTCGATGGCATTTTTGATGAAAATGAACGACAACAATGTATGTAGATTTTAGAATCTATGAGTGCCTGGCAAAATTGTTTCGTGATATTTGATGTCATCCATAGAATATAGATAAACAGTTTGCAGTAACGAGACTGAACGACAGAGTCGCGATAGATTCATTTTTCAATGAATTTTTGATTAATTTTTAGCATAATCTAAAACTCACTGATATGCTCAAGCACTGCGAACACACATTTGTACCATGATTGCCGATTTGCTTTAATGAATCTGGAGCGTTTCTACCAAAAGCTCAAGACTCATGTAATATTGCTGATGTGCACCGAATACCGTCGGTTTTCGAGCACTTTATTCGTTAAAAGCCTTTCACGAGGTGTCTCTAAAAACATCCGGTATTTTAAATCGTTCAATGTGTGCATGCATTGTATATTTTGTTTTTCTTCATGACATTCAACTTTAATCACATATGAGCACTCGGGAATTATCGAATGCGAATGTATCGTTAAATGCAATTTCGATGTTTCTAATTGGTGGTCTCAATGACCGCACACAAAACAAAGTTTGTACTGAAATTGACAATAAATCAAGTCGAAAGCGGCTTTATCAATAAATCCGAATATTCCTTTCCAGTTCAATTGCAAATCGATTGTGAATGAAGGAATTCAATGTTCTGATATGCAGTAGTTAGGTTCGTTTGTCTTTCATATTGTTTTGTACACATTGGCGATGATGTGGTGTGGTGTGGTGCGATGCATCATAGAATTTACATTAAAATTCCATTGTATGCAATTGCACCGAAGTGTCTCGAATTCGAAGTCGTCGCAGTGTTTAGTTGTTCGTTAAAACGTACTAGAACGTAGAAATGCAATGGGTATATCCAAAGAGACAAATACTTTGCGATTTAAAGTAGTGAGACCGACAATGAGGGTGTTTAAGCACTAATCTTACTCTGTTTTAGCCATGGACGTACATAGATTGCAGTTTTATTACATATTATAAAGGCAGTGTGCTGGTTTTGTAATACCCAGATATGCAATTTATGTGCAAAATTCAGAATGTTCCCCACTCTATCGCTTAGTCGCTTGCTCGCTGGCTCGAATGCAGTTTGGCTTCTGTCCCTGTTGCTCCCTATGTTTGGTCCAAAATGAAGCCTCATTCTATGTGCCGTAATTTAGATCACGACATAAGAAGGACATCGACTGAAATATGGTCTCAATTTGCAAGGCATACGCTCAGTGTGGATATTGTTATAGAAACGTTATGGCGCATCTTTTCCTCTTTGCTTTGCATTTTCATTCTCTCCCGAAAATCCCATACATTCACCGACGTTTAATTAAAATTTGCTAAATACTTTTATAAAACACAACGAGCACACATTATTCGTGTTTAAGAGATGCCGTGAACCGTCGTCATTCGTTCCGTAAGCAAGTCATAAATTGTGTGTCACGCGCACACACACACACACACTAACATGTGAATGAGCGCTCCTTCTATTTGTATAAAATTAAGTAACAACACACAACCGAAACCATTTTGTCATCTTGCAGGATGTAACAATTATATATGCGAATGTTACGATAAAATGCCAGGCATCTCATGATGAATGAAAAAACGGCCCGGAACGGAGTCAAGAGAATTTCCATTCTATGAGGATAATTAGTATTGCGTTGTTGTACTTGGAGATTGACAAGCAAAAATCATGGATCGCAAGTAATCCTCTTACACACAGAGTGTTATCTAAATGTAGAAATGTTTAAGGTGATATCTTAACTAGATATGGTTGTGAATTGCTATTTGCCAACGTGTTTGTTTTGCGTTAGATTTCGGAAGCTCAGAACTTTGTTTCGATTATTCGACAAAACTACGTTTTCGTTCAGTTGTTGCGCGTTATAAAATTTGGATTTGTGCTCAAAGTATAAATATGTATAATTCTTCCAAATGATACACTTGCAATAAATTTGGCATTGTGCGCAATATGGCGATTCTCATTTCGCTGCGTTTTTCTCATTTCAATGGATATAATTTATTGTTGAATAATAAAATTCTTCCAAAAAATGTGCATGCATTTTCGTTCGAATTGTTTAGGAGCTTCGTCCTAGACATCGTTGTCATTTGTACGCAGACACTGAGAATTGTTTTTAGCCCTAGTGCAGCCATTATTCTGACGGTCCATAACAAATGTTTGTAATTATTTGTCACCCAATTATAATGAGAACGCTTCCTTCTTATTCAATGAGATTTGCCCCCGACCGACCGACCGACCGGAATGGCAATAAACGTGCACCATTTTCCACCTTGGCAAATGAATGGTTTTCCATGCATTTGAATGTGCGAACGAAAAAAGAATCCCATGAAATATGTTTGTACTTTGTGAATTCACACAGTCTGGATTCGCTTTTGTTTTGGCACTTTTCTGCTTGGTTTGTTTGGTTTTCTTTTTTCATTACATGTCTGCAACAAGACAATGCATATATATACTTACCCAATAAGTGGACTAGCACCAGCTCGGTCTTGGCTTTTCGTCCAGGTGAGCGTTACACTGCTCTCGGTAACATTCACAACGCGTGGTGTTCCGGGAATTGACGGGAATGTACTCGGATCCGGTGTACGATGCAGATTCACGCTGCCACTTTTTTCCACCTGAAACAAAACATAAAAACACATTTCGATTATTTCACGATTGAACAAAGACAAAGTCGCTCAGCAAGAATAAATCAAAATAAACGGAACAACCAACCACATACACGCACACACAATACGAACAAGAAAAAAAAGTATGAGAATAATAAAATTATTAGGAACAAATGAAATCCGCTTGAATTCATCGAATTGGCGAGAATCTAAGCGAGGCGATTTATTGATATGAACACTGTTCACGATTACAGTGTGTGTGTGTTCAACCAAATGTGAAGGGAGAGATGAAGAAAACAAAGGTACCCACATTTCCAATTCAATCGACTACAATGGCCTCGACTTCAATAAAATAGAACAATTGGCTCGGAAATAGACCAAATGCACAATGGCCAATGTATTTATTTGCCGGCAATAAATTTTTTTTCTTGTGATTTACTACTCGCATATATATTTTTAGGTGAATTTTTATGTGGGCAGATTTATATTTCGTAAATAGCAACTATTTTTAGTTGGTCCATTGAATCAGCTTTTTTTCAAGGATATTTGTATTTTTCAAATCTAAACCTTTTCTTGTTCCATTTGTGTAATACCCTTTGGACAAGGAATTCCAATCAAAGAGGCGTTCAGCTGCGACTAATTTGACGAAATCCATTTGGTTTATAACTTTTTTCCTGGGAAATGAGCGTTGGGACACCCAAATGCTTGATTTTTTTTGTAAACTTTCGTGAACGCATATTATTGCAATGGAATTATATTACATTCAGGGCGCACCAGACGCGTGTCTGATGGAAATTCGACGTAGTTTGTAGAAAATCCATTGAAACGCATTGAATTGATGAGTATGTTGCTGAAAACAAGTTGATATTGATCGCCTCTATGTTTGTTTTATTGTTCGTTCTACGTTGCTCCCCAAATCCGATAAATGCTATTGCGTAAAATCCGCTATTTCTCACTTGTTGGCCGCATGTTGGCCAGCATAAACTAGATTACTTTCAATGCACCATTTAAAAATGTACATTAAATACCTTTAAATCGTAATTATCGATATGGGACGCGCATGCACGTAAACACGAATCGGCAGAAAAAAGCTTCATTACAAAATTAAAATACTAAACAAGCGACGCAATTAAGGGAATAAAAAATGTGCATCACAGGAGGTAAAATGAATGGTTTGGAGCGAAAATGTAATACAGAAAAGTTGAGCGGAAAAATGTCGATGATGAATGAGCGGAAAAGGGATAGCTATATAGTAAACTGTATAGTAAACTATAGTGAACTATATAGCTATCCCTTTTCATTTGACATTTTTCCGCTCATCTTTTCTGTATTACATTTTCGCTCCAAACCATTCAAATCCTATTATGTTTACGTTGTTTTATCCGTATTTGTTTTACATGTGCGCTAAAAATTGTATACATCGAATTGCGACTGGCAAATTGAAAAGCAGCAAATAACGCGTACTCAGTACACAGCGAATATTTTATCATCTCATTCGTTTTGTGTTCAATTTAATTAATTTAAAATACACTCGGGTAACATATTTTTCGATGGCGCGTTCATCGTTGTCGTTATCGTTGTCGTGTCGTCGACACCCATCGACATCGTTCGCGATTCGGAATAGATGGACCGACGATGCTTGTTGTGTTGTGTAACATTTGTAACGTGTCTCTATGCTTGCTCGTGTCGATCGTGTGATTTCATCAATTTCCGAACGATGGGATGTATTTTCAAAGCAATTTGCATCCTGTTCATACTTTTTGTCGTAATATTTGTTTTCCTATCAAATAGATTTGGTGGTCTCTTTTTTATGTATATAACATTAGGCACCATTCATTGTGCTGTTGTTGTTGTAACCGATGCAACGACGATATATTTCGAGTGTTAACTTACGTGCAAATTTACAATTATTTTGCCAATAATATGTGTCTGCATTTAAACAGCAATCAATTGTAAAGATTGCATTTGCCACAGCTGATTAATTAGTACATAATATTGTAAATTTTTCCCCCTGAATTCCCACACATTTTCAATTATTTCGTTTTGAATACGATGAAAACGAGAGAAAGAGATAAAAAAAAATCGAACGCAGCACATTTTTTCAAGTTTTAATTGAAAAATTAATTGAATCGGCGGATATGTTTTGGTGTATTAAATGACCAATTTTTTGTTTGTAATTCATCATTTTAGCGGTTTGGTTCAGATGCATTCAATATGCTTTCAATATTAGTGCTGTCATTTGCTATGCAAAATATGTTGATTAAAATTGACAAATAATAATTAGAGATTGAAAAATTACCACCGAATATCACCGACCGGTTGAAATGTCAAGCATACTCTGGACAACAATTCAATTAAATAAGCCCTAATGAATCTGTTGCATTCCCGTTGAACAGCCGTTTGACCGTTTTTCTTTCTTTCCCCATATTGCTACGCTCTTTTTTCTATACATCGTATTGTATGGTCAAATCAATTGCTGGCTTGTTTTCTCATCAAGCAATGGGAAAAATTATTCAGAGGTTGATTGCACATAAATTTATTTATATTAATTTTAAATATCAAATAAATTTATCCGCTGGAATGAGATTTTCGTTTCGTTCATATACCGTTATTTCTAAACAATTCTGCCACTGTATCATTACATAGTATATATAGTCCATAAGAAATGTGTAGAGACGAAAATGTTCGCCATTTAGTTTTACATTGCCAATACATTAGTTATAGAGATTTTTGTTTTGTTTATTTTTTGTCGTTTATAAACAAATCTGTCTATCTTTTTGCATTGCCACTGTACGTAGTATATGTCCCTAAGAAATGTGTAGAGACAATTCAAAAAGATATGCAGATTCGTTTACAAACGACAAAAAATAAACAAGACAAAAATCTCCATAACTAATGTATTGGCAATGTAAAACTAAATGGCGAACATTTTCGTCTCTGCACATTTCTTATGGACTATATATACTATGTGCGCAGTGGCAGACTTAATTACAAATATCGGTAAATGAACAAACCAAAAATCTCATTCCTGCGATGAATAGCTGGCTGCCAATACAACAGCCGATGTTTCGTTTATGTACTGCAAGTGCGTCAGAACAACACAACGCATGAAAAATATCGGATAAATTTATTTGATATTTGAAATTTATATAAATAAATTTATCTGCAACCAACCTCTGAAATTTTTATTGTTTGCCTTTTTACAATTGGAAAACAGCTTAATTATGGCCGAAAAATAAACCGAACCCAAATTGTGAAATGCCCTTTTTATGCAAATCATTTGCAAATGCGACGTTTTGATTTCGATCGTAAAATCGGTATTTTCACAAACGAACGAACGCATTACACACAATCAACTTATTCATAGCACGAACATACAATTTGATTATTTCGTATAATCACAACGATTCCATTCATAATCGACTCTGAAAAAACTTTTCGTTGGGATGAAAGTTCCCATGCCCCGAAACAAAATTAAAAATTCTTTGCGAATGGAAAAATTCGATAGCATTTTTTCTGCCCCTCCTACGTTTTCTCCTTCTAAAAGGAATTTCGGTTGCAAGTTGATGAACACTCACGCTGCGATCCGAAATGGAACATAATCGAACCAATTTCTTGTGCAGACATCTTTAAAAGCATTGTTATGCGAGCGCGCTTCAGTTATTTCAGCACAAATTCAAAGCAACCAACCGACGACAAAATGCGAACGGAGTGAAAGAAAGAGAGCGTGCGAGAGAAAGAGAGTGAGTGAATAAAAAATATGGTTGACGATGCGAAAATGCTTTATGAACAAGACACAAAATATAAATTTAATAAAAAAGAATGAACATGCACTGCATATTAAATGCGATGATTTGATGTTGTGTGTCTCTCATTTTCGGTCGGTTGTGTGCGCGATACACGGCCACATTTCTCCATTCGGTCTCGCTTTCGCTCCTTCTCTCGTAAAATCCGTGTAACCGTGTGACCTACGAGCATTTGAATTCTAATAATGTGTCGGTTAGTGACATCCAATACATTCAATAAAGCGACGTGAATATAGAAAGAAAAATAAAACGATTATTTATACATATTTTTTCTTCTCTTCTGTTGGTTGAAAACGAATGTCGCAAGGAAGCCCAAACAAGAGCGCGAACAATATTAGTGATTGTGGTGGAACGAGATCCATAAATTTCAGTGTGCGTACCTTTACGAATCTCATTACGTCTTTTATATTCGCTACGCATGTTCCATTTTTTGGTCCGAGTATACAAAACAGCAGCCTCAGCCGCAAAAAAATGAAAAATTAAATATTGATTGCATTCACGTGGAATTTTTTTCTTTCGCTTTGGAAAGAGTAATTTTTGAGCTCATTTCTTGTCATTTTCATTTTCGTTATGGTTTTTTTTTGTTTCGGTGACTGTCGTTTATAAATAAATTCGTTCGCAGAATGTAATTTGCATTAAATCAGTTTAAATGGGACACAAGTCATGGCATCGCTACATTGCTGGCACTGGAAAATTTCACCCAGCTCCAAGTCTTCTAGATATGTTGTATGTTGACGGCGGTGAGCAAACGAATTTGATTTTGTTGCCATTTCGTTTGGTGTATGTGTGTGTGTGTTATCAGTTTTGCGAGTATGCAATTTCCTCGTGTCTGTCCTCGCTATCCATTCTCAATGGACCATCATGAAAATTGGGTGAAACGGTGAAACACGCACACGAGAGATTTTCAAGTTGCGTCCACTAACCTAACTGGATCATGATGATAATTATGGTCAAGATGATGATAATACTGGCCGGAATTTCAACGGCGACAAAGATAAAGCAAAAATTTATTACGGCCGAAAAGAAGTACTATCCACAGGGCGAACGAGAGATCCACCGAGCGCCGCACACCTTTGTCACAAAACGTCCGTAATAAAACGTAAAATAAAAGACTCGAAAAGACACATACACCAGAACTTCTGATAAGACAAAGTAGCAGCAGTAGCAAGCAGAAAAAATCGAAATGGTTTTCGGCACACAGACGAAAAGAAGTACGGACGGAAAAAAATACAGCAGAAAGTAAATAGCAAAGTGTGATACAAAGGAAGTCAATGCACTGCCAGGCAAATGGAAGTTGATGTAGTGGCAAAAAAAGAAGAAAAAAGTGCGGTGAATAAATTTAACAAGTAAATAGGTCCCAGGAGTATTGTGCCTTTTGAAGAGTCTATTCGAAACGGTTTTGTACGACATAAACCAAATTGCAAGTCAAAATAGCAACAGCAACCACGACGGCGGCGACGAAGATGAAGAAAAAGGAGGCAACGGTGGTAACGGCGTCTGAACAACAAGATGAGGAATTCCAATGAGTTCTTATGTTGATTTCTTGAGGCAAACCTGTTGTGACTTTTTACGATGCGATTATTCCAGAGCATAGTCGACTTTTCGAATTTGCCACTTTTATATTTGAGCTTTTCCGCTGGGCAATCGGGAGAGTGTGTATTGGTAGTCGACGCTTCCCAATAAATTTCCCTTTTTTCTCTTCCTCCTCTTCCTCATCTCTCTCCCGCATTTTTTACGATCATATTATTGAGTTTTCTCTTATCTGGTTTGCCGCATCACACAAGCGATATATTGCAAAGCCAACTGCGGCCCCGATTGCAGGCAATAGTCAGTCAGCGCTCGCTTACAGAATTCAAATGAAATTACTTTATCCCATACAGAAACATAAAAGTCATGTCTAAAACTGAAAGTGTCCAGCAAAGACATTTCGTATCCCAATCCCAATCCCATTTTGTGCGTGTGAAAGAAACAGGTAAAATCCATAAATATTAGAAAACACATAAATAAGCTCAGCATGGAAGTGAAATAGAAAATATGGCTGGCTTTCAAATAAACGCTGTGTACATGTATATGATCGATAAAACCGACGAAAAAGAAAGTTTGAGTCAAACAACAAATCCAATAGAGAGCAAGGAGGGAAAGATAAAAAAATAGCGGCTACACATTACAAACAAACGCAAATCCAGCACAATTCTGTAATGTACAGAACATGTTCATATCGACAAACACTGGATGAGAGGCAGTGAGCAGCAAACGTACACCAACAAAAAAGTTGGCCAGGATCAAATTAAAATAAATTGAAAAAGTTTGTCATGATAATCATAATACGAAAAGTAAAAAGTTACTTGCTTTTTATGAAGAAAATACGACAACGACAACTTTCAATGGAACACCAAAGGTTCCGACAAACGCGCGTTCGCTTGAACGTATTGCTTTTGAAACAGAAAACGAAAAAAAATGTATGCGCGCCTTACACACTCACTGAAAGCAATTTATGAAGCGGATGCCCGAAAAAAACTTGTCATTTTTAATGGAAGTAGGGAGACCAAAAATGAAAAAAGCAGAACCAAAGAATGATGATAAAAGGGAAAAAGTGCATAAAAGAAAACCTACCGTTAGTGAAGCTGACCAAGACGTTTCCCCACTTTCTGAAGATGCTGTGCACGTATAATGGCCCGTATCCGATGCTTGTAAATCTTAAAGTGAATGGAAGAAAGCGAACGAATTAAAGCGAAGGGTAAAAAAAGGGCACACGAAAAATAATCAATTCGAATGAGAAATGAAATGAACGGAAACTGAAATTTACTGTCAATTTTCAGAGATCCACTTTGTACGATGATCAGACGTTGATTCGATTGATCAGAATTTTGCAGAGGTATGCCGTCTTTATACCAACGGATGCGTGGCGTTGGAGTTCCGATAGCACGACAAGGTAGCATCGCCACACTTGACGCTGGCAACGTTTGATTTGCTGGCCCAATTTGAATGATTGGCGGTGGAATATCGTCGACTGATGTGACTTGTAGAAATGCACGGATGGTCGCTGAGCCAGCCACTGAAAGAGCTGAACACACGAAATAACCGGCGTCTTCTTTTTGGACACCACGAATTTGTAATGTGCCTTGAGAGTTTACATGGTATTGGCCGTAAGTATTGTCGGGAAACATGAGCATTTGTGACACACCCTCACGTGCCCAGAATACTGATGGTCGTGGACTTCCAGTTGCCTTAAAAAAATCATCAAAACAAATTTATTACTTAATATCATGTAAAAATTATTTTAATATTGAATCATATTAGCAGTTGTGTCTGCTGAATTACATTCAATTTGAATGAAAAGATCAAAACTTGTACTTACCGCACAGTCAAATGAAGCGATTCCATTCAATCCAATCTTTTGATCCTGCGGCTTTACACTGAAACTCGGTTGAGCTGAAATTGAATAAATAAAAGATTGTAAGAAAAAAACATGTAAGGCGAAACTCAAATAACATTCTGAGAAAATGAATTGCATTTGGTTTGAGGCGATTTTCAGGAACATTGGATTTCCCGACTCGAGTTTTCATCATGTTCTATTTGTTACACAATTCGCATTAATAAACGATGGCAAATAAACATCACAAAGTGGTCACAAATGGATTCACTCCGTACTCTGTCTGCGTTGAAGTTTCTTCTTGAAGTTCTCATCGTTTCTAGTTTAGTCTAACATTTACTAGTTTTCCGTTTGCTTTTGATCTAACGTTTCGTTTTTTTGTTCTGTTCAATCAATTTGATAGATGATTCATGGAAATTAAATGGAAAATTCAACGAAATGGTTTCACATGAATAATTTTCCGAATATTTGAAACCAAGAGACGAAAGAAAAAGGTTACGAAGTCATACTAGAATTTCAATGTTGAACATTGAGAAAACACGTATTTCAACACATTGATAATGGAATCAATGTTTTTCACATTATCGTTCTGGTGGCTTTTCGACATAATATCAATTAGATGAACACCATTAGAAACATATTTCTTTTCTTTTCTTTTCAACAAATAATATGGTCACGGTCATCGTCAGTAACGTTACGTTTTTTTGCACATTTTTGCTCATATCTTTTCAAAAAAATAATTAAAACTCATAGTTTTTCTATTGCATATGATAGAACTCCCCAAGATCTTATTATTATTATTCTGCACCATACAGCGTTTCTTCGCCAGAGGTGGTTTATTTGATATAAATATTTGGTTGCATATTTACAATATTTATAATGTATTCATTATTTCTTTAGTTTCTCCAAGTTCTAATTCTTCTGAAATAATCGGTTATTCTCTGTTTGACAGTATCTGTACTAACATTAAAATCAATTAAATAGGTATCACAAATTGTAATAGTACTAGTATCACATTCATTTGTTTGATTAGGCGGTTTGATAGGAACGAAATATTTATAAAATTCATTGTACGTGGTTAACATGAAATTGATCGGTTCAAACATTGAATAGTTGTATATCCTAGTCGGCAGTGACAGAAATTCAGTGTTTCGTGTTCGATGTCGTGGTGTTCTAAAGTTGATTTTTTCCATAATATACTTTGATGATATTTGGCCAGAGATACATGACTTCATTCAATTTAACTATCTGTTGACGCTCACTCAAGGCTTAGTGTCACATACAACTGAAACTGAAACTGAAACTGAAAAT